TATATACATATATATATCCTGTAAAGAACCGGATGTATCCGGTTTTAATATCTATATCATATAAATTCATATTCATATATATCATATTAAATTAGTGACTTCTAAAAATGAATTGCAGAGTTCAAAACTCCTTTATTTCAAATATATTTTATAAAATGAAAATTCAACTTTTCAATAGAAATGTATAGCTAGCTGAAAAGAGATACGAATTGCTGGTTAGCCTCCTTTGATTAGGTTCGAGATACGGAACAGAGCTGTATCATTTTATTAATTGTTATTCCTTTGTTGTTATGCATGAAGTCGTTTTGTTTGCAAAAAGTATTATGACGTAAAAAGGGGAATTTTTTCTTTATGAACTGTGAATATTCGTATATATTCAAATATATAGTTGTCTTTGTTTGTTGCCAAATATACCAAATTTTGTGTGGCAACTTATATATGACCCCAGAGACGATAAAAATTGAAACATTTTGTCTGGTAAAATATGTCTATGTTTTATCAGTTTTGCAAATCCATTAATTTCAGCAGAAAAATCCGCAACATTTTATTTAACGTATCATGAAAAAGCTGCTATAAAAATAACAGTTTAAAGGTAAAATTGTTTTTACTAGAATAGAGACGCGAAACTCCCTAAACTCCAGTTCGTCCAGTACCAGTTTTAAAATTCGGTGATGGTGATGGACCAAACCTCTGTAGAGTAAAAAAAAGTAGATATTAATTCAATATTTTATTAAAAATAAATTTCGGTCTGGGTTGACCCTCGTCATTTCTAACGAAATAATAACTATCAAAATCGATGGTAAAAATGTTAAAAACCACAAGAAAATAAACAAACAAAAAAGATTGTTTAAAATAAATTGAAATGGGCTGTCAAATGGACAAAAGGGAAACCAACTCAGATCATGAGTAAGAAGATAATTTGCAAATACTCTCTTTTTAAGAAAATTATTATTCTTTGAGATTGTTTCTGTCATGAAGATTCTGTTTATATGTATAGTATATACAGTTGTTGACAGATAACAGCAACACACTAGACAAATCAGGGTAATAGGCCAGTCAGGATTCTGGTGGGGGATGTTTATTTTCCCCGGACATTCTTTCCCGGTAGGCCGCAAAATACACACACAACAGAGTAACCCCGTCTCAAGAAAATCGATAACAAAATCTTTATTTCCTAAATTTTTGTCTGGTAAAATATGTCTACGTTTTATCAGTTTTGCAAATCCATTAATTTCAGCAGAAAAATCCGCAACATTTTATTTAACGTATCATAAAAAAGCTGCTATAAAAATAACAATTTAAAGGTAAAATTGTTTTTATTAGAAAAGAGACGAGAAACTCCCTAAACTGTCCATGCATAAGCAGTTTTAAAATTCGGTGAAGGCGTTGGACCAAACCTCTGTAAAGTAAAAAAAGTAGATATTAGTTCCACATTTTATTGAAAATAAATTTCGGTCTGGGTTTATACCGTAGTCATTTCTAACGAAATAATAACCATCAAAATCGATGGTAAAAATGTTAAAAACCACAAGAAAATAAACAAACAAAAAAGATTATTTAAAATAAATCAAAATGGGCTGTCAAATGGATAGAAGGGAAACGAACTCAGATCATGAGATGGAAAGAAGATAATTTGCAAATACTCTCTTTTTAAGAAAATTATTATTCTTTGAGATTGTTTCTGTCATGAAGATTAAAAACCAACTGTTTATATGTATAGTGTATAAAGTGGTGGTGGGGGTCGATCTAATTTAGTATTTATATAGATAAAATATATGTATAGAATGCTAAGAGCAAAACTAAGATATTTTGAAATGCTCCATCTATTCATCAATCTGTCAAGCTTTCACAGTAAATAAGTCGGATAAATTGCTGTAGGAAGCCATTGAAAATGTATTTGAAACGTTTACAGCTAAAAACTGTAACAGAGATTTAAATTTAGTTAACGGAGTGTTTAAAAGTAAAAAATCTTGAATCTAGATATTTTTTTATTTCGGTTAAATTTCTTATCTTTTAAAAAGTTTACATTTTTCTTTCCGTTTTAGGTTTTGAGATATTGTTTACCGGATTCCCGTTATTTTGAAATACTGGAACACAAAATAAAAATATCTGTTCTGTCTTTTAACACAATTTTTCTAGTCTATTCTGTATACAGTACACTACAATAAGTATAATTAGCACTGGCATATTTTAAACCATGTTCGGCCTTCAGGTGGTTCAAGAAAAGTCATGGTGCTAAATGTTTTCTTGCATTTTGCAACTTTTTGATAAATAAAAAAATAAAATAAAATACATTACACATAGCCTTTAACGAAGCAAAACCGAACGAATTCTTTTAGAGAACAAATCTAGTAAAAAAGCAAATCCCAAGCTACAGATTTTTGGTAAATGCATAATTCTTGTTAGTTTTTTAACAATAAGAGACGTTTTCAAAACTAATTTGCGTTACCAAACAAATTCTTTAAGTTTAATTTAAAAACATTCTTGGTAACTCAAAATCTGTAAAAATTTTTAGGAAAAAGTAAAACTAAAATATTTTCAGAAATATGGAAACTGAAGCTGGGGACACATTTCCTCTTCGCTACTCTTTATTTCCCCATGTTCCTCCGTATATCAGGGAAATTATCAAATTTTCATCAGAAGAAATCCTTTTGTTAAAACTTAGTGTGATCAAATAGATTATCAAGTACAGTAGGTGGCAACAGAGAGAATTAGACCAAATATAATGACGTCACAAGTGTCAAATATAACAAGAAAAACGAAATTATCTCACATTAGTTGACACGTTTTCCAAGATTAAATAAAAAAGTGTAAAACAGAAAAAAAGAACACTTAAAATTGCACTTATTTTACTTTAATATAAGCACTTTATTCTAAAATTATCACTGTTATTAATAATTTGGTCAGACACAAAAACTGAACTGACACTTGTGACGTAAGAATACAGCTGTACTGAGAGTGTACAAGTTCTACGTTGCCATCTATTGTAATAGAATCTATTTGAGTGTGATAAACAATTATTTAAATATTATTTATTATTGTTTTGAGTAAACATCTTAATTGAGATAAAAAAACGTCAAAAACAGTTTTAAAATTTTGGAACGTACACAAGTTCACAGTACTTTTGTACTGTCTTTTTAAAAGTTAAAGAAAAAAGAACCAAGTATTCAGTAACCTTAGAATTCTAAATCTTCGAAAAAAATGTTGTATTAAATTGTTTTTAATAAGAACATTATATAAACTTATTAGTCTAAATGAAGTAAATTGGTTGAAATATTTTTTGAGGAAATCCATTATTACCCAAGGAGAGGAACATAAGTTAAAAAATGTGTGTTAAAACCCTGGGCAACGTCGGATACTCCAGCTAGTAATTTATAATCTTTTCCTTAGAATACTTCCTCATGGCCAAGTTTACAATCCCTCTCTACCAAAGGTATTAATTACTGCTTGAATTCCAAAATATTTCTTATGCATAGAATGTGATTCATTGTATACAGTGATATCCAGAAAACAAAAGAACAGGAAGACGACATTATATTAATATATTTAAGTATATTGGATGTCTTTTTAGAAAGCAAAAAGTTTACTAGACACTTATTAATTAGAATGGGTCTGTTTACAATGCACAGTTGCTGTGTCTCATGATTATTGGACTTTTAAATTTATAACTTAACAAAAAGTCGTCTTCCTATTTCAGAGTTTTCTGGTTATCATTTCAGTTTATAGTATATATATAAGGCAAGATACCGCCAAAAAAGTCCTTGCAAAAAAAGTTTCCGGAAAAAAGTCCAAAAATTTCACACTAACAAAGTCCTGTGGAAAAAAGTCCTTTTATTAAAAAGTCTCCGGAAATAAAGTCCTACCAATTCGAGACTTTATTTTCTAGGAAAAAAAGTCCCGGGAACCAAAACATAGGACTTTATTTCCAGTGACATTTTTTTCAAGTACTTGACAAAATTGGAACTTTTTTCTAAAGTTTTTATTTCCAGGTTTTTTTCCAGAAACTTTTTTTTCCTGGGACTTTCTTACATAGATTCATTAAGCAACCAAAGAAAGTGAACATAATAAGAATTTGTATACATTGAGACTTTATTTTCAAGGAAAAACAGTCCCGTGAATCCAAAATACAGGACTTTATTTCCAGTGACATTTTTTTCAAGTACTTGACAAAATTGGAACTTTTTTTCTAAAGTTTTTATTTCCAGGTTTTTTTCCAGAAACTTTTTTTTCCTGGGACTTTCTTACATAGATTCATTAGGCAACCAAAGAAAGTGAACATAATAAGAATTTGTATACATTGATTTTAGGAGCTAGCACAGTTTACATGGAACGCTCCTTCTGGAATCAGCCCCGTCATAGAGAATACGGTTACACAAGCGGGGTTTACACTAATACAGGTACTTTGTACACTGTACACTGTACACTGTACAGTCCCGTCATAGAGAATACATGTACACAGGGGGCGTTTACACTAATACAGGTGCTGTGTAATCTGTACACTGTACAGCCCCGTCATAGATAATACAGTTAAACAGGCGGGATTCACACTAATACAGGTACTTTGCACTCTGTACACTGTACAGTCCCGTCATAAAGAATACAGTTACACAGGCGGGATTCACACTAATACAAGTACTCTGTACACTGTACACTGTACAATCCCGTCATAGAGAATACAGTTACACAATAAATGTGGAACTAACATCTACTTTTTTACTCTACAGAGGTTTGGTCCATCACCATCACTGAATTTTAAAACAAGCAGGGTTTACACTATAATACAGGTACTCTGTACACTGTACACTGTTAATCCCGTCATAGAGAATACAGTTACACAAGCGGGGTTTACACTAATACATAATATTGATATTCACAAAACTACCTTACCCCATTCGTGAAACCCGGGTTTCAAAACTGGTTTTCACAATGATACCCTGTCTTAAGTTTTGGGCTCAGGCGGGGTTTACACTAATACAGGTACTTTGTACAATGTACACTGTACAGTCCCGTCATAGAGAATATATGTACACAGGGGGGAGGGGGGGTTCACACTGATACAGGTATCCTTTACACTGTACAACCCCGTTATAAAGAATACAGTTGCACAGGTGGGGTTCACACTAATACAGGTCCCCTGTACAGTCACATCATAGAGAATACATGTACAAAGGGCGGGGCTCACACTAATACAGGTACAGTGCACACTGCATACTATACAGTTCCGTCATAGAGAATATAGTCACACAGGCGGGGTTCACACTAATACAGGTACTCTGTACACTGTACACTGTACAGTCCCGTCATAGAGAATACAGCTGCACAAGCGGGGTTTACACAAATACAAGTACTCTGTATACACTGTACAATCCCGTCATAGAGAATACATGTACAGAGGCAGGGTTCAGACTAATACCTGGTGTACAGTCCCGTCATAGATAGTACAGTTACACAGGAAGGGTTCACAATAATACAAGTACTTTGTACACTGTACAGTCCCGTCACAGAGAATACAGTTACACGGAGCCCAAAGCTTAAGACAGGGTATTGTCATGAAACCCTGTATCGGAAACCGGTTTTCACAAATGGGGTTAGACAATTTTGTAGTTATCAAAATATTTTTAAAGAAATAGTAATTTACATGGTTCAATTTTTCCCATTGGCGAAAGAAGACATCATTTCACCTCCATTTCACCTTAAACAGAAATTATATCAGAAATATGTATTTGAAGCTGAATCAGCCCTGCATTAACCTTCAATCAGCTTGTCGAGTCAGGCATTCTTGAGTTAGGCAATACAACTGAAAAGTACAACTACAGTTGAGCAGAGTGTCTAAAGAATTTCTGGTTTCGACAAATTTTTATTTTCTTTCAAAATTATCAGAATCAGGGACAGTCAACAGAAGGAAAAGAAAAAAAGGAAGGAGAGAAACGATGAGAAGAAGATGTTTTCTGTATCAATTTTATCCAAATTATAAGATTAAAAATTCGAAAATAATAAATTGTTAAAAAGCTTAATTTACATTTTTAGTTTTATGTTCTATCCAATAGGAATTGAATTAATCCGTAAATCAGCGTAGGATGAAGATCAATGCTTGATCCAGAGATCCTTAAAACAAAAGTTCTAACCTCTGAATGTTTAGGGTCAGATTCGAAGAAAAGAAGATCAGCAAACTGGAGCTATCTGGGATTGTCTTCCTGTCACTGAAAAGTCTAAAGATGAAATCAATTTCGGAGATCTTAATGAAGAAGTAATTTTTTTTTGTAATTTGAAACACCAAACACCAGTTTAGTTCTGCTAATAAAGTTACATTGATTTGACTTACAGGGATTGTTGGCACGTCCGATTCACAACAGTATCCTGATAAGCTTTGTCCGAATAAGAATGATGAAGATATCCATGATGTATCTTTTAAAAATTGGGGTTTTCCACTGTGGTTTCTCTATGTGACTCTAATCAGTGACTTGAAGATTTCTTCCTGGAGGAGATTGTGATCATATTAACTACACTATTGATCAGTTATAGGGCACCCTTGTGAATTGTCCAAGCTATCTATAAATGAAGGTTCACTTGAGATTACAACTAAATGCTATTATTCCCAGTATACGCCCGTTGCATTGGGATTAAAGTTGCAAATATATTTTAGACATTTTGAATGCATTTATAGATGTTTTCAGAGCATTTTTATAACGAGCTTGAAACAGCTGCCAACCTACTTTAAAGTGACCCTCCAATTCAACAGTTATATGTTAATTTAGTAAAGAGTACTTGTGAAGCTTTTAAATGTGGGTTGACTTAAAATTACGCCAACAGTCCCTTTAATAATTAAATAAATTTAACTGTTATTTAGGTAAAAATAAATCAGTTTCCTGGACTTTTTATTTTGGGAAGAAAGGATAATCTTTGGCTGTGTTACGAAATTATGAAAAATAAGGAAATTATTCAAAAATTAAGTTTGTGTTTTTTTTTTCTTCCATATTTTAGATTACTGAATCCATTGCAAACAATTGAATGATAAAAACTATAGTTTGGACCAGAGCATTTTAATTTTCTTCCAACAACATATATACTACCGAGAGACAAGGATCTGCTTACTAGGTATAAAAATCAAAAATGTACTTAGAAAATTATATCAAATTTTGTTTCTCAGTGAGATGAAGAAAAAAAGAAAAGCGTGGATAGTGAAACCTCCAAACTGGTTTTGTGGAATAGGAATTAGTCTCATTGATGATATAAGTAAGTTACCAAGGGATATCTTTAATTTCACGACACCAGGGATATCTTTTGTCTCACGACAACAGGGTGAAATCTTTAATTTAAGAAAAACATTTTTCAGAAGAAATTCCTGATAAGAAATCGTCTATGTGCGTCCAGGTAAAAAAAATATATTTTTTATTATCTTTTAAATTATGGCTCGTTCTTTAATCAAAGATCATCCGGGAGGTAGATTTTTTAATTTCATAAAAACATGTTGATATGGCTGGGATCTTAAAAGGATTGTTAAGGAAAAATGAAAGGGGGTATAGGCTGAAACCTGAGAATCTCAGGAGTTGAACGATACCTATAAGACATCAATCTGATGTTCCTGTCTCGAGAAATTGGCATAAAACTGTGTCAACATGAAACTGCATCACATGACCAGAAATCCCTCCAATGGCTGTCCAGTATACTGGTCACGTGATACAGACAGAGACACATGACAATAATACTGCACTGCCATTGGTTTGAGTTCTGGTGAAATGTTACAGACGCATAAATAATAATATCAATTATATCTATTGAAAATGAAACCTTATTAAATTCAAAGAATAATGGGAGCAACCATGATATTCTCAGGCTCCTTTGGGATATCGTTGTTTTCAGATTGATTGAATATTATCTGTTTAATACTTCAAATCTTATACAAAATCTTACATATATACGTTTTGGTGTAATTTTGACATAGTTTTATATCAATTTCTCGAGACAGGAACATTAGATAAATGTCGTTCAACTACTGAGATTCTCAGGTTTCAGCCTATACCCCCTTTCATTTTTCCTTTACAGCCCCTTTAATTTGCGCCTCCATCCCCAGAATAGTGTCCGTTTTTTGAATTTTTTTGATTGGTTGGATTAGGACCGAAAAACTATTATTTGGGAACCAAATGTTTGTAAATCAATTTTTCCTACAATTTATTATTTTTTTAACGGTTATTTGTCATTTTTAGGAATATATTGATCGACCGCTCCTTATCAAAGGATTGAAATTTGATCTTCGATTGTATGTTCTTCTCACAAGCATAGACCCTATCAGGTTGGAAATAAATATTAATTTATAAAACACATATTTAACACAGTGAGAACCCTAAACTGTGGAATATGAAGACAACTTTTGGAGTCAACTTATGATTTTCGAATATTCCAACAAAAATTAAACAAATCTATTTTGCATTTAACTGATTTGCAAGAAGCTATTGGTAAAATCAGTTTATTTATAAAACATCAAAAACACATTAGTTTGCATAAATGTCGTCTTTCTGTTAAGTGTGGGACCATTCGGCACTTCCAATACGTGTTTTAAAAGTTTCTATGATAAAAAATCAAACTCAACCAGCACATCAAGTTTTTGAAAATATTAATTCTCTAGTTCAATTTAATTAGTAATTGTTTATGGTAATTTTAGAGAGAAAAAAATCATTTAAGCGATTGTATAAATTTATGTCAAACTTCGCAGATTGTATGAAGCTCCCTGTGTAAACCAAACATCCTTGAATATTAAAAAACGAATAAAAAGCTGCCAAACTCTGGCCACTTTTTTATACAGTGATAACCAGAAAACAATGGAAAAGGAAGGTACAACATTTAAGCAATTTGATGTTGTTTCAAATCAAATAATTTACACTTATTAGACACTTATTTAGTAAATTCGGTCTGTTTACACTGCACAATTGCTGTGTCTCATGCTTAAAAGTCATAACTTTGCTTGTCTGTTTGTTTGTTTGTATAATAAACGTCAAAACGGCTTAACCGATCGGGCTCAAATTTTTAGTATAGGATCTAGCGTGACTCAGGGAAGGTTTATGGATGGTCGAATTTTCAAAAATTTGCTTCTAAAAAAATTCAATTTTTATAAATTTGAAAAATTCAAGAGATTTTTTTTAAATCCTCGAAATTTTTGGTTTATTTTTGTTTTACAATGAAAACAAAGAGAATATGTACATTGTAAATAATTGAAATAGAAGATGCGCGCGAAGCGCCTTAAAAGCCAAATTATTCTAAAAGTCGCCTTTTTCAGAATTTTCTGGTTATTATGTAGAAACAAAATCTGCACGAATGTCTACTTGTAAAATATAAATTAAAACTAAATTTAATTTAGATAATTTTTTATATTCATATTTTTTCAAGGATCTACATTTATGAGGATGGTTTAGTAAGGTTTGCGACAAAGGTATATAATTTGATTTTTTCATTCAGTTACAAAAGTAGATACATTTTAAAAATCATTAATGAAAATTAAACCATAATTTTAAATAAATTTTTTATGTATGTTGTTATGTTGTTAGGAAGTTTCCCAAAGGTGACTAACCTAAGTGACAATTTCCAAAGTGGCAACATTCCTAATGTGGAATTTCCCAAGCGATAACTTCCAAAATGTACATTAACGGTTAGGTTAAGCCTTCTTAGCCTCCGCAGGCTGTAATGGAGGCCGAGCGCTGCCCTGCGTCTAGAACAGGTTAGGGGCAGAGCGCCGCGGCTAGAACAGATTAGTGAAGTTGCTATTTGAGAAATTGCACAATTGGGAAGTACCACTTGGGAAAATACTCTTGGGAAGTTACCGCTTGGTAAATGCCTTTGGGAAAGTACCTAACATTGTTTTTATTACGTATTCCCAGGCTTACAGTAACAGTCCTGATGAAATAAAAAATAATTTTATTCATCTCACAAACTTCAGTGTTAACAAGAATAACGAGGAGTTTGTTTACAACGAAAACCCAGGTATTTAAATGGACTGCTGCACAACTATTTTAAAGTTCACATTTCTGTGAATACCAAGGGTGTGGTGCAAGGAAAGTTAATTGCGGCCGTGTATACTCTGCGTACATATTGAAACCAGTTCTCTTTGGGCGGAATTTGTAAACAAGAATAGATGCATGTTCGGTTAGTATCCGAGGAGGTTAAAAGCATTAAATTTGATAATTTTGATAATTCACATAATAGTTTCCTATGACCAGAATATTTCATTGATTTTTTTATGTGAAAGATGGATCCCATGTCAGGCTGTAACATCCGTCTTGTGTTTACATTACCGCCCAGAGACAGTACACTGCAGTACAAAAGATGCGTACACTTTTAAAAAAAACTTTCCTTGCATTACATCCTTGGTGAATACTAACAAGTCCAAATTACCTCTAAAAAGATGTTCTTGTGGCCCGGAATGATCAAAAGTTTTCTAATATTATAGAAAGTATCATCTTCATTGGTTTGAAAGGCTTAGATGAAATCCTAAATTCTAGAATCGGGGTTTTATGTATATTTTGAATAAGTAAACAATTACTTGAAGTGTCTGGCTAGTCATAGTAGTTGACATGAGAGTGCAGTGTATGGTAAAGAAATTCATTTCCCTTTACGCACATTAAACCATCAACATAGTTTTTGTGTAATATCGACCTCATATATTTTAAAGCGTTGCAATTACTTGACTTGAAAGGACTGTAACCAGGACGTCTTAAAACCTCTCATTCTATTAAACAATTCGTCGTTTTTCAACCGTGAAAACTGTTTAACTCTGTTAATTTCTCCGTTGCTTTTGGAGAAAAAAATGCACACATAATGATAGCAGGGCTGAAAAAAATCAGATTTCAAAAACAAAAACATGGATTTCTAGTTGATATTTGATTCGACAAAGTATTTAATGGTACCGTTGTGAACTGGACATGTCACTTAATCAATGAAGGGTCACTTAAAATTACGTTTACAGTCCCTTCAAAGAAATGTAATAAAAAATCGAGAAAAAAAGCGACAATTAAAAGTCAAAATCGAAGATGGACAAAAAGCACCCTGGACGCTTGATTGTATTAATATTTTCTTTTAATAAAGTACAGAATATAAAGTATACAACAAATAGACACCAAATCTAAATTCCATCAATAACTACTTATTTATCTTTTTTAAACATATGTTTTCAACATTAATTCATCCAGGGGATTATGAAGGACACAAATGGAATCTAAAAACCCTTTGGAAATATTTTGATGAAGAAATAAAAATTCCTTGGAAACCAATCTGGGAGGATATCAAGGTAGGACTAAACCAAGGATGGATTAAGGTAGGATTAAACCAAGGAAAAATTAAGGTAGGATTGAACTAAGGAAGGATTAAGGTAGGACTAAACCAAGGAAGGATTAAGGTAGGATTAAACCAAGGAAGGATTAAGGTAGGATTAAACCAAGGGAGGATTAAGGTAGGATTAAACCAAGGAAGGATTAAGGTAGGATTAAACCAAGGAAGGATTTAGGTAGGATTAAACCAAGGAAGGATTAGGGTAGGATTAAGCCAAGGAAGGATTAAGGTAGGATTAAACCAAGGAAGGATTATGGTAGGATTAAACCAAGAAAGGATTAAAGTTGTATCTGTAATCAGGATATATGCACGAAGACTGTACTCTGCGGACATGAGCATATGAGCAAAGCGTTTAATAAAACAATAAAATCAGATTATAATTGTTACAAACTTTTTGGATTTGATGTTTTTATTGACGCTGATCTCAAACCTTGGATAATAGAGGTAAATAAATAAAATTAAACTTATGAAGGGATTCTTTGTCCCAAACTCTGATATTCTTATCCCTATATCTTCGCAACCTGATGGTGTAAACCTTTGATATTTCATAATTTCACACTTAGATCATTCTTCTAACTAATTTTATAGTTTGAAATATCTAAGGTCTACGACATTAAGTTTCAGAATTTGGGACAGTTTCTTTCGATGAAAAATAAGTGAGCTTATTTGTAAATCAAATAATAATGTTCAATTCTGTTTTAAGAAATTAGAATAAAAATATTTATTTTCTGTTTTCCTTGATCAAAGTTTTAAAGGGTACTATTGTGAATCTTTGCATGGAGGGTCACTTCTTATTACGCGAACAGTTCCTTTAATTCACCTTTTTATCTTTTTTTAGGTAAACAACATCCCTTCCCTTCACACGAACACAATCGACTCCTTCGTCAACTATCCGATGGCCGCCGAAATGTTGAATATTGTCGGGTTTCACATACCTAAGGTGCTAGGTGGGTTTCCTTATATTTAATCTGTTCTAAATAAAATCACCAGGGCCGGGGTCGGAATTATTGAATAACTAGAAATTAGAATTCTTCTCATGAGCCGCTGAGAATCGGTTAAACCAAGCTTACCCACAGTGGGCGGCGTTGACATCAATACAATAAAGACGACTTTTTCAATTTAAGCTTTCTTCAAACAACAAGTAAAAGAAGCTCTTAATTAGTAGCTTCTCTTTGTTTCCATGCTTATGTGTATTCATGCTAGAAAGCTTGGTGGAAAGTAAAAATTTTAATCGAAAGTCGTCTTCATTGTATTGATATATTTGACAACGACTGTAGTTTAACTCTTCTCGAAACTTATTTGTGTTTTTAGACAAAATTTTAAACATTTACTTTATTTTGTACATCTAGGCAATAAGAGCTACAAGGCAGTTGCTGAGAAACTGGGCCTTGAACTGCCTTCCTCATGCTTTGGCTTCAATCCTAAGCTTTATACAAGGCTTAAAACTGATAGGTAAAACCTGCCTTTTCTGATTCATAAATCTACTGATTAATCTTAAACTAGCTTTTCATAAATCTACTGATTAATCTTAAACTAGCTTTTCTGATTCATAAATCTACTGATTAATCTTAAACTAGCTTTTCTGATTCATAAATCTACTGATTAATCTTAAACTAGCTTTTCCAGGAAATCCACTCAATTCAGAATTATTAATTACCAGACTTAAAACATTCCCGTCGTTTTACAGAGGCAAATCGGTCAAGGAGTTCATGACTTATGAATATCGGACATACAATGAAACATACATAGATTATCACATGAAATACAGGGCGAGTAACAAAACGGGGTATGCGATGTTTTGCACAAAATTTTAAATTTGTTTTTTGCTTCGGAATTTATATAATAAACATTAAAAAACGAAAAAAAAATCAAAAAATCTTTTTGAACAATTGAAAGAAATTCACGAAACTATCTTTTTTAAACAGTAAATTTCTTAAAAACTTTATGGGAAAAGGTTTATTCTATTCGTTAAATTTAAATTTTCTAGATAAACATTTTCCCATCAATTCTTTAAAGAATTTAATATTTTCAGTGTCCCTAAAAAATTTTGAATTTCTTACTTACATGTTAATGTTTTTATACTTAAAATCCGAAACAAACAAAAATTATGTCTGTTTTCTCATACCCTTCCACCCTAACATACTGAAACCTATTATATTTGACAAATTATGTTTATTTGCTGCAGTTCCAGTCTGCCCTCTGCAAACAAACAAAACTAAAGAAACAATTTGAAAACAAATGTATAACAATTAATCTACACGAGAACGTACATATTGTGTTTGATTGTTAAGGAGAGTTAAGCTCTCTAAATAAGTTTTAAGCATTCTTTCCTTGCTCCCTTCCTAAAGAACCTGTCAGCTCTTTCAGTTTAATTTTCAAACTTTGAGATATCATTTAAACATTAGTTTGAGAGGGAGAAATTTTTGGATTGAAATTCGGTTAAGCCGGAAAATCCTAGGCTTAGCCGGATGTCCAAAAGAGAAGTTTTGACCTTAGCTGGAATTAGGTTATAAAGTTTATCTTCGGACAATATCATTCAAAGGTTCCCAGTTCAGTTTCCTCCTGAATTTTTAAGAGAGGTTTTTCATCTCTTAAGATACAGTGGAACCCATACAAATGTGAAATAGAAACACCACTGTTGGGTCCAAGTTATATTTTTGATTAGTCCAATGAACATGAAAAACAGAAAATGTGAAGATATATATTTAGAGATAATGTGAAGAGATATATTTAGAGATAATGAGAAGAGATATATTTAGAGATAATGCGAAGAGATATATTTAGAGATAATGAGAAGAAATATATTTAGAGATAATGAGAAGAGATATATTTAGAGATAATGTGAAGAGATATATTTAGAGGAGAAATATTTAGAGATATATTTAGAGATAATTAGAAAAGATATATTTAGAGATAATGAGAAGAGATATATTTAGAGAAAATGTGAAGAGATATATTTAGAGATAATGAGAAGAGATATATTCAGAGATAATGTGAAGAGACATATTTAGAGCTAATGTGAAGAGATATATTTAGAGATAATGTGAAGAGATATATTAAGATGTAAAGAGAAGAGATATATTCAGAGATAATGTGAAGAGACATATTTAGAGCTAATGTGAAGAGATATATTTAGAGAAAATGAGAAGAGATATATTTAGAGATAATGAGAAGAGATATATTTAGAGATAATGTGAAGAGACATATTTAGAGGTGAAGAGATATATTTAGAGATAATGTGAGAGAAAATGAGAAAAGAAACCAGTATATCTCTGAAGATCTGAGTAGAGAAGAATATTGTGAGAACATTCTACAAGATCTTTTACCTTCCGACCTAAGGTTTTTTTTGTTTTAAAAAACATTTTACAAAATTGTATTTCAAATTATTTATATATTCAAAATAATATATTTTTAGAATATTGATAAACAGTGAAGATGAATTGTCACAAACATTCCAATGGACGAGAACATTTCCGAGTATAAAGGTGAGGTACAAATTTTCACAAATCATTCTCCGAAAATTGAGACTGGGCTCGATTTAAAGTGGTGCCAGGCCCCGGCCCTAATAGTTATACTTTATTTGTGGCCTTGAATATGAAGATTTCAAAGTTTAAAGGCGCGTGTCTCTAGCTTTATAATCATTACAGATTTTAACTTCAAATTTGATTCATAATGGTTATTTTTTTAATGGATTAAATTCAGAGAGAGCTGTTTTAATATTTTAGTGTTATGTACTAGGTAGCTTAGGAAATAATTTTATAGTAAAAAACTAGCAATTGGGAATCCAGCTTTGTTAGGAAATATTTTTTTTTTAATATTCTGATTATTTGAAATATTTGTTTTCTAGAATTCTGATTATTTGAATTAATTGTTTTCTAGAATTCTGATAATTTGAAATATTGTTTTTCTAGAATTCTGATTCTTTGAAATATTTGTTTTCTAGAATTCTGATTATTTGATATATTTGTTTTCTAGAATTCTGATAATTTGAATTATTTGTTTTCTAGAATTCTGATTCTTTGAAATATTTGTTTTCTAGAATTCCTATTATTAGATATATTTGTTTTTCTAGAATTCTGATTATTTGAATTATTTGTACACTCCCTGTTACTCTGATCGACTGCTTGATGCTTGGGAAGCTAAGTATGGAGGATCTAAACAAACAAGGTCCAAAATTTTAATTCTCAAATTATAATATCTCATAAACCTGCGAGATCTAAAAAAAATTTATTTTGCAGAATTGAAAAAAAAACTTTTAAACGAACACACAATGTTAATTTTGTCTAATTTTAAGAAGACTTTAAATCTTTTAAAAAATATTATTATTTTACAAAATTAGTATTTTTATACGCAATCGGCATATTTTTGTTTCATGCTTTCTTTTCTGTAATTCATGTAAAAATAGTGATTGATTGCTAACTGTGCTTTGTAAGCCGTAAAGCTGCTCTGAGAATGTGTCCAACTGTTATGGCTTCCCCTCAGAAGATAGTCTAATTTTTTTAACAATTTTTTTTTAACTAAAGGTTTACGTTTTGATACAGGATCGTCTTTTTTTTAATAAAAACATTGAAGCTGATAATTTACTTTTTAAGTTTCCATTTATCTGTACTCTGTAGGACGGAAGCTGATAATTTACTGTTAAAGTTTCCATTTATCTGTACTGTGTAGGACGGAAGCTGATAATTTACTGTTAAAGTTTCCATTTATCTGTACTGTGTAGGACGGAAGCTGATAATTTACTGTTAAAGTTTCCATTTATCTGTACTGTGTAGGACGGAAGGAATCCAGATTATTCGAGAACTGTGCGCAAACAAGGAACACCTAGAGGCCCCTCAAGTCGGGTAATATTTAAATACAACTTTTATCAAATTTATATAATCTCAAAGGGACTGTTCTTTTAATTTCAAGTGATCCATCAAGTAAAGGGTTCCACAACGGTTCCCTTTAATCCTTTATCTGATCAATAATGTGGAAGATATGGTCATTTTTCTACCATAAAAACTGTGTCATATTTTTGTGAAAAACCATTTTCGGAACCGGTGAATCGGTAATGACGTGTCACTTGAAATTGCGTCTACAGTCCCTTTAATAAGAAAATTTTTTCCGTAGATTGCGTTCAAGCCGAACTAGTCGATACGATTTCACTCCGACAAAGGAACATAATTAGATAGATAGAGAAAATATACAATTTTTTAAATTAACTGTTTAGTTATTTTTTTTGCTCATTTAAAAAAAATATAAAAAAGGATACAAGAAGTATCAAAATTCGTTGGCAACCCATTGCTGACTCTTAAGTAAAATAAAACATTATTGCATGTTTGTAAGAAATTGAGTTTTTGTCACAAATTCAAATTTTCTAATCCCTATATCTTTTCAAACTGAGGCCGAATTTAAAGAATTTGAGACGCGGCTCAAATATGGTTGATTCCGCATAAAACTGTATCCAATGTGCAAGATTTAAGCCGGCTGGGCTCTCAATTGAAACCAGTTTTCGGTGGATTTGAGACGGGCTCAAATTCATTAAATTCGGACTCTGGTGGTGTAACCTTTGATATTTCAAACTTAGATTATGTGATATAACATAATTCTAACTTTGTAATATCTAAGGTCTACGACATTGGGTTGGAAAGATACAGGGATGAGAAAATAAGAGTTTTTGCGACTGAGACTCAATTTCTTTTGCTCCATTAAATTCTCATGAAGTGTTATGAATTCTTGGATCTTAACCAAACTTTTTTAACATTTTCAGCATAAAGGGACTGTCAACGTAAATTTAACAAAATCCAAGTTAAAGTCCGATTCATTATGGTACCATTTAAACCTTTGTCCCAGGGGAAATAATGGAATAATCCGTGTCTCAAAATAGATTATTTTAAATTGCGATTTTCTATCAAATTAGCTTGCGGTTTTAACGCATTTAAATATGGGTCCTTTGAAATTACGTGGACAATTCCTTTATAGGAAACGTTTCTTTGTCACAAACTCTAATTTCTAATTCCTATATCTTTGCAACCTTATGGCGTGAATCTTTAAATTAGACTATTTGATCATTGTTTGAAATATCTAAGGTCCACAACATTGCACAGATATATTAAGGATTAGAAAATCAGAATTTGTGACAAAGACGCAATTCTTTTACAAGAAAAACATGAACGCAGTTTATTATTATTTTTAAAAATTATGTTGCTAGGCTAAATTTCGACCCAATTCGCAATTCTTTGATTTTGCATGAGTGTGATAAACCTCAAGATGTACAGATCAAAGTATTTCTCTGTTAAATTTATCGGAATTTATTTATAGAAAAGTATTTCTCTGTTAAATTTATCGGAATTTATTTATGAAAAAGTATTTTAAGTTTGACCCCAATTATCAAAAGTTTTTTTGGGGCTTTTTCTTTATGATTATGGTGTAAAAAGAGAGTGATCTAGAGAAATTTTTAAACTTTAAATTGGTGTGATCAGCTATTTTTATATTTCTACAGTGGAACCATAAAACTGTAAAGCTGGAAGACGACATTTAAACAATCTTATGAAAGTTTGATGTTGTTATAGAACGCAAATAGTTTTACCAATAAAGCTTAAAAATAAACTAAATATTGGGTCTGTATGTACAGTACACAATTGCTGTGTGTTTACTTTCATGTTTATTGGACTACTTAAAATCTTAACTTGAGTCTAAGAGTCGTCGTCTGACGTAAGAAATTGGAAATTATCTTAACGAAAAAGAATGAAACTCAAGAGAAAATAAAATAAGATCTTAAACCTCTCATTGTTTGTGGGTAACTCTGTAGTTTACACTCTTTTTACTTATTATAACCCTTATTAATGTTCCTATTTGAAAACAGCAGTGATAATTAATAAAAAAAAATGAATGATTGCCGTCTTTCGTCTCCTTTTGATCTTGAATGCACTGTAAATTTATAAATTTAATAATATCTTTAAAAATATTGAATTTTCTAGTTTCTCTGATCGATTATGATGTGACTCTGGGACCGAAGATGAAATAAATTTAAGCTAGTTCTCTAAACTCCCTGCCACCTTAATTTCCGATTCAAATCCTCATGAATCTTTAACTTTGAATCGGTGATTAAGGATTTGAACCGGCGGTATAGGTGGTTCAGTGACTTCTCTAATTTATCAAATTCGGTCTCTTATCAACTTTAAATTGATGTAATCATTTTTATAAACTTTTAATGGAAAAAACAAATGTGTTATTTAGAAGACATTATAATATTAAAACATGAATGCAATTTTGTTTTACTTTCTCTACCCAAACAAAAGTCAAATTTTTACACTTGTTTTTAAAATTCATCTTTCAATAATTATGACAAAAAGAGTCAACTTTTTCATTCTGTATTTCAATAGAATTAATGTGCAATTCAATATTTTAGATAAGTTTATTCAATAAAATTTTTTCGATTCTGGTATTATTTAGTATTTTTGGAAAAAATAAACAATTTAGTCAAATTTCAAAATCCCTCCTAGCATATGTTTTTTAATTAAAATAAAGAATCAAGAGAAAAATAATGTTTGTTGGATATCACTGTATAGAATGAACCCTAGATAGCTAGATAGCTTGTTTTAAATTTAAACAGTTTTCTAGTAACATTTTTATTCTTATAAAACGCATGCAGACAAAACAGCATAAAAGAGTAAAAAACGCAAGTTTTTTGTTTAAAGGTCAAATTGTGATCGAAAGTCATAGTTCTCTGAGATAAGGAACGAACTGTATAATTCGCGTAGATATTTGTAAAACTTAGATTTTTGTTTGAACCTTTTAAAATTCCAAAAACTTAAGAAGTTAAAAAAGTTATTGCTCCCCATTATAGTTCAGTTTAGTTTCCATATTTGTGCATAAACCATTTTTAGACCATTCGATAACTCTTTATGGCTCTATAAAATTACAGTAAGTATTTAGCAAAAAAATTCAATGCAAATATTTAGTTTTTATCACACCGATTCAGGCCCTAACATCTCTACAGTTAGACCCATTAAATTATGGACTAGGAAGACGACATTTAATCATGTAACATTTATGTGTGTATTTGAAGTTATTGAAAAGCAAAAAGTTTTACCATTGCATTGCATTGCATTGCATTATTGGACTACTTAAAATTGTATCAATTGAGTCTAGAAATGTCTTTCCATTTCACAGTTTTATTGGGCTCACTATACTAATAGTTTTAATTTACGTAGATTTTGTAATGTTGATTTTAAGTGTGAATAATGTTTATATACTATATATACCATGGTGTTAAAAAAACAGAATAAAATTATGTACATAAATGTTGTTATTTCATATACTTAAGTTTCTTGTATTTTTCAATTCATTCAATATTTGTGTTTGTCTAGATTTACTTTACAGGGTTACCAGTAAAGGATGAAACTATAAAGACGACCTAGACCTCAAAAACTATAAAGACGACCTAAAACTCGAAATACAAAGACGACCTAAAACTTAAAGACTTCAAAGACGACCTAGAGCTCCAAATGATTTCAAGATTCTGTCATAAACAAAGTCTATTTGTGGCTGGTTTAATGCTTGGGCAAAGAAAGAATCAAGTTTAGATTAGCAAGGAATCAAAAATTTAGGGAAACAGACAGTTTTACATTCCATTACAGTCGTCTCTGAAGTCTCATATTTTGCGAGTAACACTTTGTCTGTCAGAAGAAAACCGATCATTTTTTTCGTAATTTTGAACTTATCGAGAGCACTTAGAAACTACAAACATTTTCTTAGAAATAATGAACGAAATGTCGGGATATAAAAATTAGTTAGATATCCCTGTAACGTTTCATTCATAATTTCGAAAGCAATGTTCGAAATGTTCGAAGTTTTCGGTCGTGATCGATATATCAGAATAGGAACTTTTGTGTGGAGTATCAGCAATCTTGAAAGCTTGATCTTGATTTATAATGTGGGCACTTTTAAATTTGACCACTCAATCAAAGGTATCCCTGCAGGGTATGACCACCACGGAACATCGAAGAAGAATTAAATTAATATGCTGTGCCCCTAGGGTGGGGACGTCCCCCCCACTTTCTCTGCCCCCCCCACGGGGATTTAAGGGTTCTGTCAATACTACAGAAAGCTATGACTTTCGATCACAATTATTAAAATCAAAAATTAAAAATTAAAAATTAAAATCAAAATTATTAAATTAAACAATTAAACACATAATTTTTTGGCATTTTTTCCTTAAACTTTTTCGTCGGCATACACATTTTGAATGAATAAGTATATAATAAACAAATCCGTAAGTCAAAAGACTGTTAAGGGGCAACCCGAAATAACCAGAGTGAGCAGCATTCGGTTTCTTCTATTTGAAATCAAAAGTATTTTGGGTTGCCCCTTAAGCCGCCATTGATTTAAATGCTTGCTTTAAACAGCGCAAAAGTTCTGATTTCAGAATAAAGAGAAGTAAAAGTCGTCTTCTTTAATTTTCTTCAAGCCTCAAATACTTTCGAAGTTTGATTTTTAAAAAATCGAAACAGTGCTACAGCGTTTACTTAGAAACTTGATGTTGAACTATCTTCATTTAAAAATTTAAAATTTAAAATGAACAAGGGTTCATTCACAGAGTTCTATAAAATGATTAAAAAATCATATTTTGACAGACGTAGAACTTTCTATTCTACTATATTACGGTCCTTAATTGTAAGGTTATACCCTCAATTTAAGGAATCTGTTTCACATTTTAAACGCTTAATTTTATTGTTGAAAACAACTTTTGTTTTTCATAAATCTTTATTTTATTTTTCTATTTTTAATAACAAAATTGCACTGGGTTTTATGCTGAGTGGTCATCACAAGTCCAAAAAGTCCAACATTTGAAGAAATCAACAATTTCCTAAAATGTGGAATTAAAAAGCTACACAGCCAGATGGTCCACAAAGTCCTGAGGGTCCAATATTTCCCGAAGCTCCGACTATTCCAGTGAAAGCAGTTCCAACTTGAGCTTGAGCAGATAGGACCTGCAAAATACATTTATAAAACACGTGGAGAATGTCGAAAGTCGTCTTTTAAGGAACTATCGTTAAAGGTCGTCTTTACAAAGAAGACCTTCCCCATTCACAACAGTACTCTTTAAACCGGCTTTAGTCCCTTAAATTATAAAATAAAATAATAAACTATATTAACCTGTGCTTCAGCAGCAGCATGTTGGGCAAGACCCGGAACTTGAGGAGCTACAGGAGCTGTCTGAGCTCGTTCTTGAGCAAGAACTCTCTCCTGAGCTGCAATAACTTCAGCTGCTCCTGGCACCTAAAAACTTGAGGATAGAAGTCGTCTTCTAAGCTATTCTTTTCTTTTAACGGAAACTCTAATGGGGATTTTAAGGAAAGATTCCATTGTCATTACTCCAAAATGAAACAGAAAAGTAATTTTTTTACCTAATGCGCTAATGAAAAATCAAAAAATGTTGACCTCCCCCCCATCCAGGGTGCCCCTGAAAAAAATGCCCATATGTGCCACACATTTTTAGGAGGCATAAGGGTAAAACTAGATGAAATATGAAATTCTAGGGGAAAAAATTAAATAAAAAATCTAAAATTATTTTCCGAAATGGGCGAGCCATTTTTGGTCTTATTTGACCATTTTTGGCTAAATTGTTACAATTCTTTTGAAATCCAATTTGGAAATCATTTAACTTAGTTTTAACGATTTTTGACAGAATTTTCAAAGAATTTTGTTTTTGATGGTCCAAAATTCAAAATATAGGTAAAAAATCACGTTGTTTTTACACATTTAGTCAGCTATAGCGGGGATTCACAAAAGTAAAAAAAATGTCAAACAGAAAGTTTGACAATTCAGAATTACCTAAATATTTTTTTAATTAAATAGTGTAGAGGCAAATATTTTAGGTTTTGGCCAAAAACATCTGTAATAAAACAGTTTTTGGTGCAATCTTCTTCCTAAACTTGGCCAAGCACGAGAAGTTTAGTTTTTAGTGTTCTAGTTTTTCTCATAGGTTGCATAATTTGGCCAATTGGACGTAGTAGGCGTAGAACGAGACAGTGAGAGAGCTTGTTCTACACCGACTACGTGTAATTCCTTTTGTCTTCTGCCTCAGGGTTATTGTGAACAAAACACGCATAAATCATGAAAAGACGACATCTAGTGTCCTATCTGTTATTTTAATTAATCTATGGTTTAAGTCCACAATAAAAGTAAAGTAACCCCCGCCGCCCCCTTCCTTTTTATTGTCTTGTGATGGGTAGCTTACCCTCAACATGCCTCCCCACTTGTACCCTATGTACCTGAGGTACTTCTAGGGGTGTAGGTCCACAATACGGGTAATTTGGGCAAACTTCCTCTGAAAGACCTGCAGGGTAGGTGGACTGTGGTGCCCCTGCTACCATAGATAAACACAAGGATGCAAAAACCAGTCTCAACATCTAGAAATAAGAGAGTTAAAACCAGTCTCAACATCTAGAAATAAGAGAGTTAAAACCAGTCTCAACATCTAGAAATACGAGAGTTAAAACCAGTCTCAACATTTAGAAATAAGAGAGTTAAAACCAGTCTCAACATCTAGAAATAAGAGAGTTAAAACCAGTCTCAACATCTAGAAATAAGAGCCTTAAAACCAGTCTCAAAATCTAAAAATAAGAGAGGTAAAACCAGTCCCAACATCTAAAAATATAGAGAGTTAAAACCAGTCTAAACATTTAGAAATAAAAGAGGCAAAACCAGTCTCAACATCTAGAAATAAATTTATAACACACAGTTTAAACATATAGGTTTATATGATCAAAACCCAGAAATAAGAGTAGTAAAACCAGTTAAAACATCTAGAAAAAAGAGAGTTAAGACCTAAAACCAGTTTAAGCATCTAGAAATAAGAGAATTCAAACCAGTCTCAAGTGTGTAGACCAGAAAATGTAGAAATTGTGTAGACCATCACTTTAATTGTGCATGCATTGTTTTTAAGTTGCATTATATAGTTTAAATTATAATGTGTAGTTTGCAATAATAACTCTGTATTATGCAGAATTCCTGTTTAAAAACAAAAGAAAGAAAAACCTGCTTCCCAAAAATGTACATGGGCAGGCCTTGGTGGAAACAGATACAGGGAAAAACAATTTCAAAGTGGTGGAGGGTGAGGGGGGGGAAGAGTTGGCTAAAATTGTTTATGAATTGCACTACAAAACTTCCCTTCCCTTTTTTATATCTATAAAATTCTATAAAAAGTAACAACAATTTATAGCTGTATCTACTATCTATGTGTATACTTTGCTTGTCTGCATGTCTGTTTGTCTATCTGTCCGTTTGTGTCCAATAAACGTCAAAACGGCTGAACCGATCGGGCCCAAATTTTTTGTGGGACCTCGCGTGACCGAAGGGAAGGTTTATGGATGATCGAATTTTCAAAAATGTGTGTATATCGAAGCGCCCTAATATTGAAAATTATCAATTTCCTTGGGCAGAAAAATAGGACAAAAAAAGAAAGAATGAAATAATGAAAAGAGGAAAATGAAAAGCAAACTAGATATACAGAAAAACGAGGAAATGGAAAAGTGAGAGAAAGGAAAAAAAAAAGGGAAAAAGAAATCGTATTATTTTTCCCAACAGCATGTTTTAACAAAATTTTATTAATTTTTTTTATTTGTCAAAATTTGTCACTGTTTGCAAGAAAAAGAAATTAACAAAGGTGCAGACAACTATAAAAATCAAATCCAATACCAGCTTGAGTGCAAATATTTAAAAATTAGCAATGGTCCAGGGCAATTTTTTTATGAACAATGAAGAATCAATTTATTGAACATCAAACATTCATTGCATTTCCAGATTTGGACTCTATAGGCCTTTTTCTGGTATGATTCTACATACACATATATGCAGACTGCTATGAAAAGTTGCATCCATTTTGATACGATGAGGACCAGAAAACTCTGGAATAGGAAGACGACGTTTTGACTCAACCGTTGACTTTACATAGTCCAATAAACATGATACACAACAATTGTGCAATTTAAACAGTCCCAATTAATTTGTGTTGTACAGGGTGTCCCACGATGACAGTTGGTGATTAGTTTTGAATATCTTCTTCCATATATTATATTGGATATTAAAGACATTTTGCAGTTTATTTCGTTAATAAAACATCTTTTCCTCAAAATTTATTTTCCTTCAAAATCAATTTTACTAAAATATGATTGCCATATAATAGTTTTATCATTCTCTTTAGTATAAACACCTTAACTGATTATGGAAGAAGACATTTTAAACTATTCACCAACTGTCAAGTTTCATGGGACACTCTGTACCAACATCAAATTTAATTTAGCTATAGCTATTGTACATTTTTTCTGGTTCTCAATCACACCTCGAAAAATATCTATAAAAGTTTTTTATATTAACTTGCTGCAGTTTCCAATCAGAAGCTAACAACACAGATAATCAGTAGTTTGAATAGACGTGTCGCTTTTTTGTGATTCTCATCTTTTATTTATTTTACTTTGTTGTTGAAAATTTTTTTTAAGTAAAAAAAAATGGATTTTATAAGTAAATTCTTATAATCTAATATCTATATAATTCAAGGAGCCAGAAGATCCCCCCTCTGACTCCCCCTAATTGCCCTAGGTGTGCTAAACATTTTCCAGGGGGGAGAGGGGTGGCTATGAAGGCTCAGTCCTTGGATCAGAGAAGTCTATATTTTCCAGGTTTTTTTTGGCCCAAACGGACGTGCTAAGATATCCCCCCCCCCTCCCATTAAAAGAGGAAAAATGTAAGCCCCCACCCCGGGACAAATTCCTGAATACACCCTTTTTTTAAATTATAGCATTCCTTAGTTCATTCAGTGCAAGTTATTGTAAGTTTAATTAGTCATTAGTTCAATCGATATGCCATCAGACGAAATCTTCCGAAAACGGTCGTCTTTGTTTTTATTTTCAAGTCATGAAACCGGTGAAGAAATTGTAGCGGCATTGTTCTGTAATAATTTCCAGTCATCATTGGAAACTTAAAAAGCTTGTTATAAAACCCACGAACCTAGAGCATTTGATATTAAACTGCTTGTTTAAAGTATTCATTTTTTTTGATGTAGCTTAGCTTTGTGGTGATTTTTATTTCTTTTTATGTACGCACTTTGGTATATTTGAAACCGTTTTCTAATCTAGGATATTACCAAGTTATCTTCGACAAACTCTTCATGTTCTTCGTACTGCATAGTCCGAGAGAAAGAGTTTTGGACCCGCCCCCTCCCCCATCATAGAAAATTTACAATTAGTTTGTATTTCAGGGTTAGTGAGGTTAAATAAAATTCAGTGCCGCGACTAGGACAGGTTTGGGCCGGTCGCTGCGGCGTCATATAGAATTATGTACATTTTTTGGGTAGGGGGGTTGGTGGAGGGAGGGGGGTCCAAAAATCCATCTTTAGGAAATTACCCTTTGTATACAGTAGTCGACTTTTTATATATAATTGTTTGTTACGTATTTTCAGGTATATAAGATGGCTACAAAATGGGGAATAGCCAGCTCTGGTCTAATCAGTCATGATTTCGTGAACGCAATATCAATCCTTCCGGCCTCAGATCACCAGGTTGTAGCGGTTGCCGCTAGAGGTCTAGAGTCGGCTCAAAAATTTGCAAACACTTTCAAGATTCCTAAAGCTTATCAGGGATATGACAGTCTTGTATCTGACCCTGAGGTTGAAGTAGTTTATATCGGAGCTACTAACCCTGCACATTTCCCTATTGCTAAACTAATGTTGGAGGGTGGGAAGCATGTACTCTGTGAGAAGCCCCTGTGCATGAACATGAAGGAGACTACTGAATTGGTTGAACTTGCACGTCAAAAGAACTTGTTTTTAATGGAGGCTATTTGGAGTAGGTGTCTACCAGCCTACCAGGCGGTGGAGAATGAGATCAAGAAAGGAACTATCGGAGAAGTTAAGAACGTTTTTGTTACTTTTGGGAAAAAGATAGAAGCTACCAGACTTCACACCAAGGAACTGGGAGGTGGAACTGTGTTGGACCTTGGAGTGTACTGTGTACAGCTGGCTTCCCTAGCGATGGGAAAGGTTGCCCCTAAAAAGGTGATCGCTGGAGGTCATCTCGGTCCCGGAGGAGTTGATGAAAGTACATCTGCAACCGTGCTTTACAGTGGGAATCGAACCGCCACCCTTGTAACCAGCAGTCAAGTTGATTTACCCGACGAAGCTTATATAGTTGGAACCAAAGGAACTATCAAGGTTTGCTATCCAATGTGGACTCCTACAGAGATCGAGACCCCTGGAGGAACACAAAGCTGGGTTCTTCCCACTGGAAACATTTTACCCTTTAACTACGGGAACGGTGGGAACATGACGTTCGAGGCTCAGCATGTCCGGGAATGTTTACTGGATGGACTGAAAGAGTCTCCTTTGATTAGTCTAGATGAAACTCTGATCATAGCGCAGATAATGCAGGATATTCGGACCCAGGCGGGAGTAGTCTATCCTCAGGACGGATAAATTGATAAATTGTTTGTTAATTTTCTGGTATTTAGTCAACCGTTAGAATTTTGATTAAGTTTGATTCATTGTTGTTTTTGATTGAAATTGATTGTGATATTATATTTAGACTTTTAAGAGTTTATACCCACTACCTAGTCGACAACTAAATCCCTGGTGAATTGAATTGAAATTATCTCTAGATTTATATTTTTATACTAGACAAAATATGTGCTGCTGCATTATTTTGAAATATGTAACGGAAATATTGTTTTTATTACAGAGTTTAGCAATGAGCTCTAGCCTGGTAGTGAGAGGTTCAAGGGGGCTCTGTCTTCAGAAACCTTCAGATTTTGCTATACACCAGGTATAACGGCGCTATGTCATTTGTCCTACGCTCATGTGTACTACCATCATTTGTCCTGCAGTACGGGAAAACATCATTTGTCCTACAGTTAATGAAAAATATCATTTGTCCTTTACTCCTTCATATAATTAAATTCATTAAATATAACACATAATTTGATATTTCAATAAGATTCTCCGACATGGGGTAAAACGATCTAGGGTCAAATATTTGATCAAGGGTATAACGTCTTAGGGTCAAAAGAAGAGACAGTACATTATTTTACATTTAAAAGTTAGCAGCGCTCGGTCTCCTAGCCCATCCTAGCCGCAGCGCTCGGCCCAGAAATTGTCTTAACCTAGTGTAAAATAAGGTGACACAACATTTTATTTAACATTTAAGAGGCCGCAGCGCTCGGTCCACCGTCCAGAATGTGTGTTAACCTAACCTTACTCATAATAAGGTGAGAGACAGCGTATTATTTAACATATTAAAAGAAAAGTTTTGAAATTGTTCACCCTTTGTCGGTATGCAAAATTATTTTGCAGATTTTCTATTTTTAAATTCAACTTTTTAAATATTACTATAGAACAAATGATGTTATCATTTGTAGGGCAAATCATGTTGTCCCCTCTCTGTAGGACAAATGAAGTGTAGGACAATTGGTTTTTCCCTTACTCTGTAGGACAAATAAGGTGGAGGGCAAATGATTTGTAGGACAAATGATCTTAGGACAACCAGGGGTAGATATTTTCTTCAAAAATCACTCCCCCTATGTTAATTACTTTTTCCTACATGTTAGGTAAGGTTGCACAGATTTTTAAAAATATTTTTATTCGCTAAATTAAGGAAAATAAATTAATTTTTGAGAAAACAGTATCAAAAAAGGTGGACAAACCTGCCCTTAGATGTCCAGTGTTTCCAAGAAAATGAATATCCCTGCACTTACCAGAAAGGGTTGTAAATCATCATGGACTTTTGCCAAATATAAATAAGTTTGTAGTCAAAATGTTCATTTTCAAATGATTTTACGTTATTAATCCACTCTATATAAAGGGATGGTAGACTCTCTGATCTTATTTCAAGCACGGATTTCAGCCACTACTGGATAGAATGGGTCCTATGCACCAATTCTGATGTTATGTTCAGGGGTTCCAGCCTGATGAGAGTAAATCATGCAAGGTTTTCCAATTCTCTCATGACGGGACCAGACTAGGTATACAAATCATGGCAGAAGAATATTTTACTAAATAAACCAAGTTATTTTTTAGATGTTTTTAAATATTTTATCCTTAAACACTTAATTTTGTATGTTCTTGTTATATTTCATAGATAAATAATTTTTTACTTTACTTTATTTTACTTTAATCTCTCTTTTCTTAATAGTTCAAAATTGGGGTTTGAGAGCAAAATATTTTTTGTTTGTTGTAGCTAGGTAGCTAGTTACTGGCTGATATTTTGCCCCTTGAATTCGGATCCGTGGATCCGGATACAGGAAGCCAAATATTGCGGATCCGTGGATTTGTATACAGGAAGCCAAATATTGTGGATCCGTGTATCCGGATACAGGAAGCCAAAAATTGCGGATCCGTGTATCGGGATACAGGAAGCCAAATATTGCGGATCCGTGGATTTGTATACAGGAAGCCAAATATTGTGGATCCGTGTACAGGAAGCCAAATTGCGGAATTCGGATCCGGATACAGGAAGCCAAATATTGCGGATCCAACGGATCCAGATCATACACTGCTTTAAACATACCCTGTATCCAACAAACTGAACAATTGTTATTATTATTGTTATTATCATTGTTATTATTATTGTTTTTAGCTTGGTCGAACATGAGTACTGTCCAGATTGCATCTGTCAAGGATGGTGTCTGGAGGGTCTCAGTCGTAATTGACGCAGCAAAGGTAATATTTTCTTCACAATTAATTATTTAAAGGGACTGTCCACGTAATTTCAAGTAACCTTGCATTCAAAAAGTAATTTATCCGATTCATATGGTTCACTTAAAACTTTTTGTCATCCATGTTTTTCTGTCTGAAATTAATAATTAAATCACGGTTTTCTGTAAAAGTGATTTGTAGAGAAAAGGGAGAGTTTACACAAAGCGTCCCATATCATATCGGATTATCTCCACGCTTTAAAGCCAAAAATACGCACACAATACTCGAAAAACCTAGCATTTTTTGCCAGAAATTTTTCACAATGGCCTTATACAATTTTCTAGAACGATTCATTTTCCTTAAATTTTCTTGTTAGTCTTGAAAATCGTAATTTAGAGCCAATAACAATCCGATATGATGTGGGACACCCTGTATAGTTTCTGAACTGAAAAACGACGATATCTTCCTCCGTGTTAATCCGTTTGTAAACGATTTAACTGGTTCGCTTAAAATTACGCTGACAGCCTCTGAGAAAAATAAAATTTCACGTTAAACACTGGTTTTGAATCTTTTTGATAATAGTTCCTAAGAGCTAACATTTTGGGATAAACTTTGATTTATATTGCATGAAATTATATAGGAATGAATTAATTACTCTATTTATTTCTTCTTTAAACTTCAAAGAATTATTATATTTTAATAAAGGGCAGAGAAAATTTTTGGATTTTAGTAGTTTATGTTGTTTGGTTCATTAAAAAGGTCATCTTCAAGGTCCCTACTAAGATTTTTTTAAAAGTATTTCTGATACTGTTTTTTTGTCAAGTTTTTTTTGGAGAGATGCCAAGAATCTCTTCCTCCTTTTCCCTTCCCTCTTGCCTTTTTCTTCATTTTTCCCCCAAACCCAATGAAAGCTCATATAAACAGAAAAACATACACTCATGTGAAAATCTATGGGGATGAATGAATTATTCTATTTATAATATAATATAGGTGTATGCTCTCCAATGGTCCCCTATGTCGACCCATTTATCAACCTGGGAACAGTATTCACAAACAGCTGGTCAAGAACCTAGACCAAATCTTCATGTCTGGAACACAGGATCAGGTAAAAAAAAACACCTTGCAGGGATGTATATTTTCTTGCAAAATCACCCCCCTCCTCCTCCTGAAGTGGGGAAAATTAATGATTTCCAGGTTAAAATAAATAAATTTTTGGGTTAAAAGTATGCTAAAGGATGAAAAATCTTACTTTTTGTTGTCCAACTTTTTATTTTCCCAAAATTTCAAAAATCAACTGGGTGGGGGGGGGTAAATCTTATACTTTCCTTAAGAGAACATATCATTCTTTCTATTTATTGGAAACCGTCGATTTGAGATTCTATTTAAGATTCTTAAATGTAAATAACCAAACATTTTCTTGTTTATGGAGTATGTGATATTCTGATGAAAAGTTCTGGTCTAAAATTGAAATTCTTAGTTTTCCGATAGAAAGCTATGGGTCTCCGATGAGATGTCAAAGATAGCACTCCAATCATGATGTTTTTTCTAGACTCCTTTTTTTGTCAATTGTCAGTGAAAATTATTTTTCAGTATGGAACTATCTTATTAAATCAGGTCACCATTTATTTGGAACATAATATTTCAATTAGTGACAACAAAGTGTATAAATGAACGGAATTTAATGAATTTGAGCTAGGTCGCTGAACTTCCCACCGTATACTTATCTGTAGTTATCACATATTTATTGAACCGTCTCTAGACCTAGCTCAAATTCATTAAATCCGGTCCCAGGTTGGGTACGAAGTGAACTAAGATTTTTTCTTTGATGCAACGTTTTTTTTCAAAAAATATCTTTTTTAGGAATATGAATAAATAAGTTCAGTTCTACAATGTACTTTTTTATTTTTATTTTCAAAAATTGTTTTTTTAGGAATGTGAATAACGAAGTTCAGTTCTACATAAACAACGACTTCAGCACGGTAGCTCACAAGATCCATATGCAGAAGGTTGCAGACTTTAGTATGTCACCAACCCCAGGTATTACAGGGGTTAAAGGACGTTAACTGGGGAGGTAGATTATTTAAAAACTTTAAAATTGTGGATATCGAGATCAATGCTTGATCTTCTCTTTTCTTTGATCGGCTGATTAATGTAATCTTTATTTTGAAATCCGGGAAAGTTTCCAAATTCAACCAATCAGAGTGTCGTTTGCATACACCGAATAGCCAATCAGAAGACGGAAAATTTTGAGACAAATTTTGAAATCAGCCCATTTTTACCGTCTGATATACTTTTTAGAGTTTTGATTATTATTTTTGCATTTTTAAAATTTTCATTACAATATAAAAATCCAGGGGGGGATGTGTAAATATTTAACCCCTTCATCAAAAATTATAATTATATTCTGTATTGCAGGTAGACCATATGTTGTAACGTATGTTCCCGGAAGCAAAGGTGGACCAAGCTTCTGTAAACTTTTCCAGTTTCCTAACTTTGGGGAAAATCAGGTTCGTTATTCAATCTATAACCTTTTAGATAAGATGATATCTTAACAGTAAAGGGTCATATACAGATGTTAGGTACTTCCCAAAAGATTTCCCCAAGTGGCAGCTTCCCAAGTGGCAGCTTCCCAAGGGTATTTGCCCAAGTGGCAACTTCCCAACTGTGCAATTTCCCAAGCGACAACTTCCCAAGTCTGTCCTAGCCACAGTGCTCGGCCCCCCATTGCAGACTGCGGCGCTTTGGAAGGCCTAACCTAACCTTTGAGAAATTGTACATTTGGGAAGTTGCCACTTAGGAAAATACCCTTTGGAAGCTGCCACTTGGAGGAAATCCTATTGGGAAAGTACCTAACACCTCATATTCAGCCTTAGGCGGTCAGAATTGCACAAGATCGGGCTTGTTACATTTCTGATCCTCGTACACTTAGCCGGCTCCCTTGGACTGATCCAAAATGCCTTCAAATAGACCAACTTTCTCATTGCACAAGATCTGAAAAAAATTGTGGCGCCTTTGCTCTCTTGAAAGAAACGCAGATCCTATTTTGAAATTAAACTTTTTCCCCAATTGAGAATGTTTGCTCGGAATTTTTGGAGAATTTTTTTGATTAATTGTGGAAATTATGCAAAGGGGGAAAAGTAACAATTTGAATAAAGACCATGATTAACTGGAGATCGAGGAAGAAGGTCCAATTTTTATAAACCAAGATGGATGGATAAGATCAAAAATTATATACTTCCGTGAAAGATAAGGATAACTGTGTATTTTTTTNTGTCTAGTGAAAGTATAGACGCAATTAAGAAAAGAAAATTTTATTTGTTAGTAAACACCTGGTTTCTAAAATTATTTTAAAAAACGTATTATTTTAGGTGCTAGCGAACAAGAGCTTTTTCCAAGGAACAAAATTATTTCTTGTAAAGCTTCTTATTTTGATGTATCATTGTTGACTTCACAGCTGTTTGACATTGCACGTCGTTTGTGCATTAATGGGACTGTAAACTCACATTTAGTGACCCTTCATTCAAAGATTTCAATGACCGATTTACAACGGTACCCTTGAAACCTTAAACTGATCAAAATGTGTAAGATTACGTCATTTTTTTGACTCGAAATTGTTTATTTCTGTGAATATTAGTTAGAAATGTGGAAGTCACTTATACAGAGAAACCACAAATGAAAATAAACAGTGGATATCTAATCTTATTAAACAGTGGATATCTAATCTTATTAAACAGTGGATATCTAATCTTATTAAACAGTGGATATCTAATCTTATTAAACAGTGGATATCTAATCTTATTAAACAGTGGATATCGAATCTTATTATACAGTGGATATCTAATCTTATTTATACTTGAGATCAGACAAAGCTTTAAGGATAACGCTGAAAATCTCAGGCATTGTTCCTTTGAATTTAGGGTCACTTGAAACTACGTTTACATACAATTCTGGTAAGAATAGACAGTATTCATTATTTTGAAGACGACTTTTTAATTTTCATTTTTTCATCTTAAGTTTTAATGCATTTCTGGACAAGATGGAGGCAGCTAGTTCTCCGCAATTTTTTATATGAATCTTTAATTTTTAAATAATTTTGCCTGACTTACAGCTGACAGTGTTGACATAAAGTGGAACTCCACTGGTACAGGTGTCCTGCTCCTGGTACAGGCTGAGGTTGATAAAACAGGAGCCTCATACTACGGGAAACAGCAACTTCACTACATGACAACTAAAGGCATGATACTGGATAACTTAAAATTTATTTTCTTTTAAATTCTGTTCTTGATTTTTAGAAGATTTCGAGTGCAAAATCATTTTGAACCTAATCTTTTTTTGAGAAATTTATTATTTATCATTGTTTTGGGGTATTTTTCTAAAATCCCCAGACTGTATAAATTTTTCTCAGTATGTTAGAGGTTTTATTTTAGAAATTTTAAAGGAAAAAATATGAATATATTATTTGTATTTGGAGTAATTTTAAGAACTACTCCATCTCCGGTGTTAAGGGGGAGGTAATGAAAAATAAGACATTAAGCTTTTTTTTGATCTTGAAACTTTTTACTCAGACATACCTAACTTCTGAGGAAAAGGTGAAATTCAAAAAGGGCGGGGGAATGATTTGTCAAGAAGATATACACCCCTGTTTATCAGTAAGCATGATATAAGGAGAGACCTGTATGGTAGAGTTGAAGAAGGAAGGACCAATATATTCTGTTGCCTGGAGTCCCAAGGGAGATGTGTTCGCTGTAGTTTATGGGTTTATGCCGGCCAGAACATCATTGTATAATAACAAGGGAGATGCAGGTATACAATATATATTAGGGTTTAAATAGAAATTCTGTTGCGCGGAATTGCGGAGTAAAATGCGAGGAATTGCGGAGTAAAATCCACCGTATAATCTATACACGCCCAATTCAGACATTAACATCCGGTTTATAGCTATTGTAGGAATAATTTACTCAATTTTAGGTGATGAATGAGAATAAACATAAAGATAACGATGAAGTAGAGTATAGCTTAAAAGTTTTCATTTTATTGTGAAGGGCAGAGAGGAGTAGAATGAAGGATAGAAAGGATTAGAATGAAGGGTAGAGAGGAGTATAATGAATGGTAGAGAGCAGTAGAATGAAGGGACGTGTATTTGAGATTTGGATTTATGTATATCAAATATTGTTTTTGAATCGCCATAGCTCAAAAGAAGACAGCTTACACATAGTAAACAATAAACAATAATTTATCCATTCTTATTTATGAACAGTTAACACAGAAGAATTAATAAAATGTAAAAAACATGAATAGCATACAATTGACATTTGACTTTTTCTCGAAAAATCTAGTTTGCGGCTAATAATATTTGCAATTGAATACTTAAGTGTATTAAATATGATAAATAAATCTCCCTTTGACCGAATTAAATGAATTTGAAATGCATATGAACTACCGATTCAAATCCTTCCTTTATTTTTAACTTTGAATCCGTGACACAAATTTAAACCGGCAGTTGGTATAGTTAAGCGACGTAGCTCAAATTCATTAAATTCGGTCCCATCTGAAAGATAATTATTTATTCTGTTCAGTTTTTGATTTTGGGACTGGACCGAAGAATTTAGCGATGTTTAATCCACAGTCTAGTATTCTCATGATCGGAGGCTTTGGAAATCTAAGGAACACAATCTTGTCCCAAAACAATTGTAAATGATGTAATCGGTGCAAAAGATTAATTTATTTTGGTGCGGACTGCGGACTCCTGGATATAGAGATCCAGATCCAGCTTCAGATTATTTCTTTAAGCATTATTAATGTTTTAAAAAAAATCCCGAAATTTTTTTTTATTTTCCAAATTTCTATGCATCATTTACAACAGGTTAAAGTTTTTTTTGTAATCTTTCATAAGTTAGGATGCTTNATACTTTTGGTCCGCTGAATTTTTTTTTCATAAATCTTAGATTTATTAATGGAACAAAATTCCCTCTGAACTTCCTTGAATTTTGTTGAGAAGATGGTGTGTAGAGGGAAGATAGATATGTGGGATGTATCTGGTCGAACTCTAATCTCAAGTTTTGATGCTCCCGATACTACAGATGTTAAATGGAACCCTGACGGTCAGCATATTGTCACCTCTACCTGTGCTCCCAGACTCAGGTATTGACCAATCTTTTAATCTCAGACAATCAATCAATCAAACAATTTATCACGATCAGAACTTTTGTGATGGATATCGTTGTGCTGCTAAATCTACAACAACAAAAATTGCCTTTTCTGGTAGTTTAATTTATGAAAATATTTTGGATTTGTAACGGATATAAAATCTGACATCATTCTGGAAGTTTAATTCATAAAATTATTTAGGATTGGTAATGGGTATAAAATCTGGTTAGTTTCATTCATGAAATTATTTAGAATTGGTAACTTGTATAAAATCTGGCCTTATTCTGATAGTTTCATTCATGAAACTATTTAAAATTAGTAACTTGTATAAAATCTGGGATTATTCTGATATTTTCATTCATGAAATTATTCAGAATTGGTAACTTGTACGAAATCTGGCTTATTCTAATAGTTTCATTCATGAAATTATTTAGAATTGGTAACTTGTATAAAATCTGGCCTTATTCTAATAGTTTCATTCATGAAATTATTCAGAATTGGTAACTTGTACGAAATCTGGCTTATTCTGATAGTTTCATTCATGAAATTATTTAGAATTGGTAACTTGTATAAAATCTGGCCTTATTCTGATAGTTTCATTCATGAAATTATTCAGAATTGGTAACTTGTACGAAATCTGGCATTATTCTGATAGTTTCATTCATGAAATTATTTAGAATTGGTAACGGGTGGGATTAATTTTAAAATTTATTCAATGAAAACATTTAGGATTGGTAATGGGTATAAAATCTGGCATTATTCTGGAAGTTTAATTCATGAAAAACTATTCTCTCCTCCTGATGAACTCTGGGAAACTGATTGGCAGTCTGCACTTCCTGAATCCATTCCTCCTTTCAAGATTTCTAAACAGTTAGTTTCTGGTATACAGACCACTCAGCCACAGGTTAGTTTCTGTTGTATAGATTAGCCAGCCACAGGTTAGTTTCTGGTGTACAGAACAGTAAGCCACTGGTTAGTTGCTGGTATACAGACAAGTCAGCTACAGGTTAGTTTCTGTATACAGACCAGAGGCAGAAAGCCACAGGTTAGTTTCTGTATACAGACCAGTCAGCCTCAGGTTTGTTTCTGGTATACAGACCAGCCAGCCAAAGGTTAGTTTCTGGTATACAGTCAGCCCAGGGTTAGTTTCTGGAATACAGTTAGCCACAGGTTAGTTTCTAGTATACAGATCAGCCAACCATAGGTTAGTTTTTGGTATACAGAGCAACCAGCCATATGTTAGTTTCTGGTATACAGTCAGCCGAGGAGAGGAACGCTGACTACAACAATTTCTCGTCCGAGCCACATTCTCTTTACTTTCTCGTCAGAGCCACCTAAAATTCCTCGTTCTTCCAGCCCTTGCAAATAAAAAGTTTTTGAAAATCTGGCGACGTCAGGGCATAAAACATGGTTAGACTAAAGTGTAGCAATAATTTTATCATATTGGAACCTTCAAAACCGTGAGAATGATGTCCAACTCTATTTTGGGTAAAACTTGAGAGGAAATACCAGAACTCCTGATTTCTTTCCCCTCTACTGTTAGATATATCTACAAATATTCAGGTTTCCAAGCAGGTATATAGACCACCTGGAGCTAGAGGTACACTCAGTACCTTCAAACTACATGATGAGGAGCAGGAGAAAGCAATTGCTTTCCTTGAAGGAAAGAAGGAGGAGAAACAGGAAAATCTCAGGTAGTAGGTTTTAATTCTCACACAATATGTATACAATTGATGTATTATTTTTGGTAGAAGTTATTTTTTCGCGACTCTGTTTCTTAATGAAAATCTGGGGAAGAAAAGTTAATAAACTGGCGAGATGATTCCCTCCTTTTTACATAAATATATTACCCCAAAATTTTACTTAATATCCCTTAAAATCATTTATTTAATTCCTCGATTAAAAATCCTAAACATTGTTTCTTCTCCGCTCAATCATTCAACACTGGGGGTGAAAAATAATTCCCTTGTATTTTAGTAAAACCGCGCAGAAGAATAAGAAGCGGCGTGAAGCTGCCAAGAAGAAGAAAGACGAAGAACAAGAAGAGAATGTGGGGAACAAGGTTCAAACAAATGGAGGCTTATCTCACCAGGACAAGGATTCATATAAGGTCTCGATTTATATATATTATATATACATTGTTGTCGGATTGTCTATTTGATTGTTTGTAACCGATAAACGACAAAAACGGCTGAACCGATTGGGTCCAAATNGGGGGGGGGGGAGGGGAAGTCCTGGGAAATAGTTGGATTTTTTTTGAAAATGCGCCAATTCGAAAAGAAAATTCCGCCAAATTTAAAAATGATTTTAAATGGCCGACTTTCAAAGCAATAGTTAAAACCTAAAATTATTATTTATAAGAAAAGGGTCGGGAAGTTTAAAAGCCTAGTATTATATATTCACAGGCTACACTAAAATGTGTCATATTTTGAAAAAAAAAAAAAATATTTCTCAAATTATTGCTTGCACTGTTCATAAGGTAATTTAGTGATTGGTTTTTTGATTGATTGATTTATTGAATTATCAGGGAGCTGCAGGGTTACTATTCGACCCTGAGAAGGAGAAGAAGATAAAGAAGATAAAGGAGAAACTAGGATCTATACAATCAATAAAATCACTGCAGGGTCAAGGGAAACCTTTAGAGAAAAACCAGGTACAGCTGATAATATTAAACCAACTTTAATATTTAAGTTTTTAGTGCTAGATTGTGGAAAAATTTATTTTTAGGGGGAAATATCTGAGTTTTGGGGGGAAAATATCAAAAAGGATAAAAAAGCTTGCCTTTCGATGTAAAATTTTTAAATTTTTTCCTTGTGTAATTAAAAATTCTGAAAATGTTACAACCCTAATACTGCATTATTAATTTGATTTGTTATACTATTAGATAACTTTCTCACTTCAACAAATAGAAATAAACATTTAAGTAAATAAAAAACAAATCCAAGTGAAGTTAGGAACTACACAAATGTTTTTTAAAACATTTTTATAATTTGGTTTTAAATATTGATAATTTTAGTTGGAGAAACTATCCCGAGAACAGGAACTACTTGATGAACTGAAGAAGCTTTCAGTGTAGCCAAATATATTATCTTGTACATGAGAATGTCTTGTCTAGAAACTGTATTTACAATAACAGAACTTCCACGAAATCAATCTTGGGGATTGATCAATAAATCAGTCGTGGGGATCCATTTAAAAAAAACATACTTGTTAACTAAGTTGTTAAAAAAACTCCATGGCATCACAAAATCTTAAACCTAGTCTAAGGTTGGGATAATTTTGTCTTCACTCAAGTTTTCTACAAATATAGAACATGTCCAGGGTTAAAAACAAACTTTCCTCGGGTCATTATTATTTGTTATTTTTTATCCGTTTTTTTTCTTTCTTACCGGACATAATATTTTTTTATCCTTCAGAAACAATGGCTGGGTATGACAGAGCTATCACTGTGTTTTCTCCAGATGGTCACCTCTTCCAGGTACACTGAACACACTTTACACTACACAGCGGTACACTTTACACTACACAGTGGTACACTTTACACTACACAGTGGCACACTTTATACAACATAGCGGTACACTTTACACTTCACAGTGGTACACTTTACACTACACAGTGGTACACTTTACACTACACAGTGGTACACTTTACACTACACAGTGGCACACTTTATACAACATAGCGGTACAATTTACACTACACAGCGGTACACTTTACACTACACAGTGGCACACTTTATACAACATAGCGGTACACTTTACACTACACAGCGGTACACTTTACACTACACAGCTGTACACTTAACACTACACAGTGGTACACTTTATACAACATAGCAGTACACTTTACACTACACACCGGTACACTTTACACTACACAGCTGTACACTTTACACTACACAGCTGTACACTTTACACTACACACCGGTACACTTAACACTTCACAGTGGTACACTTTATACAACATAGCGGTACACTTTACACTACACAGTGGTACACTTTACACTACACAGTGGTACACTTTATACAACATAGCGGTAAACTTTACACACACTACACACTGCACTCCACACACTGTCCACTACACATGTGCACTGTACACTACAAACCACACACTTTTTACTACACACTTTAAACTACATACTTTACACTACGCACTTTACACTACAAACTGTACAGTGTGCAATGTACTTCACTGTACACAGTTCACACGGTACAGTGTACACTACACAGTACACACTGTACAGTGTACATATTGTCTCAAATTATCCAAGTAGCATTGTGTCCACTGGTATATGCCTAATAAATAATTAAAATGAAGGTTGAATATGCTCAAGAAGCGGTGAAGAAGGGAAGTACTGCTGTTGGTGTGAGAGGAAAGAATGTTGTTGTTCTAGGAGTTGAGAAGAAAGCTGTTGCCAAACTTCAGGTAATGGTTAAAGGTTGTTGTCAGTGTTAGAAAAGCTAGATTTTAAAGTTAGAACCATTTGAGTTATTCACCCGATTATTTCAGTTGGGTTTCCTTCCAAATCCTCCTTAAATCAAGATTAAAGATGTAAATTTTTTGATGCAAGTTTATTTTGTTCTCGACTACAGTTTACCTAATCTTAAAGTTTGCGCCTTTCTTACATTGGTGCCAAGACGTGTCGAATTACTCCCACCCCTTTTGTAAAGAATACAGAAAACACCCCTGGGTGCAGTTAGATGAATCTTTTAAATCTTTCCTATGCCGAGTAAACTATTTAAAAGAAGATGATCTGCCACTTCTTTTAGTAAGGACGGCCCTTAAAGCTATTAAAAGATGTGTTTCTATTCCATTTCATTTATTAAAAAGGCAACCAGTGCAGTGGAGTAAAAATCCCAATTATATTTTAGAACAGAGAATTACAAAGTACACTGTGCTGGGAACATTTGTGATTGTAAATCCACATATTTTTATATTTCCGGATCCGGATCCTGAGTGGCAAAATATTTTGGGGAACCGGATTCCAAGCACAGATCAGTTGGAAGCCTTTCTTAGGGGGGACGTTAAATTTACTTCTAGTTATTGTATAAAATGTACACAGGAGGATAGAACAGTACGAAAGATCTGTCAGCTGGATGAACATGTTCTCATGGCGTTTGCTGGACTTACTGCTGATGCTAGGTTTGTATTTTCCTCACTCATTTTTAAATAGAAATGATAACAGTGTGTAAATATTAAAATATGTATTATTGCAGTGTGTAAATATTAAAATATGTATTATTGCAGGGCGTAAATATAAAATATGTATTATTACAGGGCGTAAATATAAAATGTGTATTATTAAAGGGCGTAAATATTAAAATATGTATTATTACAGGGCGTAAATATAAAATATGTATTATTACAGGGCGCAAATATAAAATATGTATTATTACAGGGCGTAAATATAAAATATGTATTATTACAGGGCGTAAATATAAAAGATGTATTATTACTAGGCTTTTAGTATGCTTCGCGCCCATCTTTTATTTCTACTTTTAGTGGCTCTATCTGTAAGCATCTTTTCTTTGTTCAATATAAAACAATCAGCAAAAAATGTCAGCGAATTTAATATTATTTTGAAACTTTTGAACACAATTTTTTGTAATTTTGAGCATCCAAAACCCTTTTCCGGGATTAAGTGAGGTCCACATAAAATTTGGGCCCGTTCGGTTCAGCCGGTTTGACTTTTCTTGGATTCTAAACGGACAAACAAACAGACAGACAGATAAGCAAAGTAGTAAATATTAAAATATCTGTAAAAATATAAAAAATTCGTATTAGTACAGAGTGTAAATATCAAAATATCTGTAAAAATATAAAAATTTGTATTATTACAGGGTGTAAATATCTTAGTGTATTATAACAGGGTTTAAATATTGAATATGTATGATTACAGGTTGTAAATATTATAATGCGCATTATTACAGCGTGTAAAAATTAAAATACTTATTATTATAAGGTGTATATATTAAAATACTCATTATTACAGGGTTCAATAATAAAATACTTATTATTACAGGGTGCTGATAAAACAGGCCCGGACTGAATGTCAATCCCACAGATTAACTGTTGAAGACCCTGTCACTCTGGAGTATATAACCAGATATATCGCCTCCCTTAAACAGGAACAAAACAATTTTGCTAAAAATTTACTTTTTTAATCAAATCAACTTAATATGTATGTTCTTAAAGGGAGAGACCGACTAGACATGGTAGTTGGCTGAAAGTGCAGTATTGTAGAGAAAACTTTAGAATTCATTTGATACAAATGAGACATCTTTACGATGTACAATTTTTAAGTAACGTAGCGTCGTTTCTAATATTTCACCTGTGGTCTTAGTCAGCAGAAGAAACGCTTTTTACAAAGTTTAAATTTTATTTTAATTGTTAAGACGACATCTTGAAGAAATCTACGAGAAATAAAATTGTAGACACAGCAAAAGTAATTATGAAAATGATAATGAAATAATCGATTCTACGGTTTTCATCGATAATTTCTATTTAGAAATATGTTCGTAAATAGCAAATTAGACTATTAAATAATTGTTTTATATGTTTTGTCCGGTTTATTAAATAGTTGTAAAAAAAAACGTTTCTTCTGCTGACTGATACAACTTGTGAAATATTACAAACGACTTTACACATTTATTTAAAAATAGCTTACCGTACAATACTGCACTTTCTGCTCAACTACCATGTTTCGCCGGTCTCTCCCTTTAAAGCAGCATTTAATAGTTCTGTGATGGAATCTATTTTTTAACCGGTGCACAATGTGAACAAAGTGATCATTGGTCCGCTCACATTTTAGAGTAAATATATGTAGAGTCTTCACTCCACCCCNGCAGGGGCTAGCTGAAACCCGGCACCTTGGTATTTCAACATACTGCTACTTGTGCAGTTAAATTAGTATTCCACCGTAGAGGTCACTAAGTCTGTGGACAGATGAGAAAAAAGAGGATTTTTCGTGCTTTCTTTTACAGACTACATATATAAACTTCATGCTAGCGCAATCGAGTGTGAGAAATGTTTTTAAAATCTACACCGACCTGATTTCTCTTGAACTCAAGTACATTTATATCTATTTACTCTAAATCTCACATTGACAAAATTGGTTTTAAAAACTAGTTTACGAAAAATATTTAATACGGTTTTTTGGTTGCCATGTTCTCATTTAACTCATGGACGATCCGAACACACACTTAAACTTACTTTGTACTTACCGAATCGGACTAAATAAAGGGACTGTAAAGTGTACACGTAATTTCAAGTAGCCTTGCAGTTACAGAGTGGCAGGTCTAATTTACAAAGGTATCTTTAGAACCTTTATCTTAGTAACAATGAGTAAGATACCATGCTTGTTTTCTATCCAAAATAGTGGCGAATAATAAAATCTCACTCAATATTTTTTAACGTAATGGGTATCGTTATGGCCTAGGGTATCGTTCTAAGGTCCGTTATTTAACATTCTAGATTATTGGATTATTATAAGGCTCAACAAGAAACTTAAGATGTTTAACTTATTTCAAAATTAATTGTATGCTTGATAAGTTTGCTTTTATTACATTATGTTTCACTTCTAGTCTAGCCAACGATATTAACAAAAACTATTGGTGAAACCGTGATAATAAATCTTTTTTTCATATATTTTTTCATTTTAATTTTAACAATATTCTCTAAATAATTAGATAATGTAGCTGCAAAACCGTGATAATAAATCGTTATGGTTCAAATCTTTTGTGAGGGGAAAATATTTGCTTAATATAATAAAAGCAAATTTAAAGAAAACTCGGATCTTCCGTGTACTAAACATCTCCGATTCTTTCAGAACACATTTTAAGAAAAAACCTTGAATCTATGTAAACGAACCGATGCCCATAATTAGATATGCCAATAAAGGGTCATTACGTCTCTATCCCTATTAAAATAATTGTTATGTTCAGCGATACACACAATCCAATGGAAGACGACCTTTTGGTATCTCATGTCTGATCACCGGATTTGACTACGACAAAACCCCTCGGCTCTACCAGGTAAACCATTTTCTTTTTTGAAGATATTAAGTTTCGTAAATATTTTTCATCAAGAAGTAAATTTTCTGATTTTATAATATTAATTTTTTAATATTTTCGAATATTTGTCGTACTTTGGACATTTCTTAAGAGACATTTAAGAGCAAAATGTTTCAGTGACCCCCCGCTCCCCGGAAAAGGCTTTAACACGATTTTTTGCACTGAGAATGAAAAATTAGATTTGTTAACGTTTAAATCGGTCTTTTGACAGAAGAAGTTGTTAAAATTAACTACAAAATATTTTATTTTTCTATTTTAAGAAATCGGGGAAAAGCCTTTATTATCTTGATTTTTAGATCTTTTCTAGTTAAACATCTTATTATGTTTATTTTTACTAAACTTCAGTAAATTACCTTTCTATAATATTAACAATGGAACCACGGCTATTGTTGAAGTAACCGGATAATTCCAATTTTTTCTGGTTCATGAAATTTTTTCATTTTCTCTCATCTCGTGCAGGATTAATGTCTCTCTCTCTCGTTAAGGTTTATAATTAGGAAAGTTTTTCTAAATAAAAAGTGAAAATTGGGTTGATCCTAAATCTAAAAAATGAACATCTTTTTCTTTAATTATTAAGATTCTATATGGTCAAGGATTGAGGTTTTTGAGTATTTTTTTTATTGTTTTCAAGTCTATAGTTGTTAGTTTACCTATATTAACCAGCTAATTTGTCCTTCCTCTTCCCTTTAAATTTTGTTTAACTTACTTTTTTGTTCAGGCTGTTTCTGGGTAGGGATTACAAAGTTGTACTCCAATTTGTATTTTTAAAAGTTGGAACATATCTATAGAATAAAAGAAGACATTCATATATATGTTGCGTATAGCCGACCAAACGAAATTTTTTTTCAAACATTTTTTATTTAAAAAAAAAAATTCAAATCTTTTTTCACGGGCTACGCTGAGCCATCTAGCTAGTTTTAAATAATTCATTATCAGTATTCATATGATTAACCATTGTAATACAAATGTGTGCTCTACTTCAACGAAAATTGCTGCTTAATAAAGCTCTCAAACCTTTTCAAAATTGATAATAATTTTCTGTTAATTTATTTACATTCAATTAGACGGATCCAAGTGGAACCTACCATGAATGGAAAGCCAACGCTATCGGCAGGAACGCTAAAACTGTTCGTGAGTTCTTGGAGAAGAACTATTCTGCTGAGAATGTTGAGAGCGAGGAGTTGACCGTCAAGTTGGCAATCAAGGTCAGTTTTTAGTAAAGGAAATGAACGCGTAAATTTAAGTGGCCCTCCATGCAAAGATGGCATTGCCCGATTTACAACGGTGCCATTCTAAACTTTGTCTGATTAAGTATGTTTTTATTATTATTATAAAGATTTATTCACATACAAAGATTTTCTGTAGATTTTCTGAAATTATTTTTGAAAAGAAAACGAAATAATTATTATTATAAAGATTTATTCACATCAAAATATTTCCTTTGTTTCTTAACTAACATTTGTTATCTTCATTTCTATTTCTCTGCAGAAGTGAATTATGCATATCTTCTCCTGTGTGATCAGCGCACTGTTTTATAAGTTATTAAATCTCTAGGCCCTACTGGAGGTTGTACAGAGTGGGGGGAAGAACCTCGAGGTTGCCGTTATGAGAGAAGAAACTGGACTCCAGATGTTGGACGTAAGGATTCTGTTATTTATAATTTTATAATCAATATTTTATGCAAAATTTGGAAGCAAGAGAGAAAAAACGCCACTATTTTACATAGTTTCCCCTAGAAATATAACTCAGTTACATATCCCCTGTGTATTAATATTTAGGTAAGCTTTGTGTTACATATGAACACTTTAGTGATTAACTTTATAAGGGATTGAAAAGTTCTGACCTGTGAATTTTTTTATTGGATATTCGGCTAATTCTAAGAATTCAGCGGCTTAACTCAATATTAAGTGGGAAATCTTTAAAGGGAGAACGGGCTCAAAGTCAATATTGAGTGGGAAATCTTTAAAGGGAGAACGGGCTCAAAGTCAATATTGAGTGGGAAATCTTTAAAGGGAGAACGGGCTCAAAGTCAATATTGAGTGGGAAATCTTTAAAGGGAGAACGGGCTCAAAGTCAATATTGAGTGGGAAATCTTTAAAGAGAGAACGGGCTCAAAGTCAATATTAAGTGGGAAATCTTTAAAGAGAGAACGGATCCAAAGTCTTAAATCGGGAAATCCTTGAGTCTTACATCCAACATATAAGTTTTAACTTCAGGATTTCTTAATTAATTAGCATAATTATAAATGTTTTATTTTTATAATTATTTATTCATGATTAATGCAGGTAGCTGAGATAGAGAGGGTGGTGAAGATAGTTGAGAAGGAGAAGGAGGAGGAAGCCAGCAAGAAGAAGGACAAGAAGGAGGACAAGTAGAGAAACCAGTGGATCATCATAAAATACATTTTAATCATAAACTGATTCAAAATGAAACTTTTCCCCAATATTTCCATGTTTTAATATTTCAGAAACTATGTCTGCTGCTGATACTATTGAAGATGTTGAGATGAAGGAGGAGAAGGTAAGGGTAGATGCATTGCAAAAGTCGGAATTGAATTCATATCTGGGCTGAAAAACCATTTCTCATTCAGGAATTGAAACTCTAGGCTGAGAAATGGAGCCTAAAGCTTCCCCAACATTCATGATTTGATTTGATTTGGGCGGCGTGGTGATATTTCCCATTTCTACTGTTTTCATTATTTCCAACTAGTTTGGCAAAGTGAAATATTTAGTTTGCTGCAAAATTAGATAGATAGGTATATATTTGACTAATTATTTTAATTGAAAACAATTACAATTGCACAATTTTTAATTAATTTCTAATTAATTGCTAATCCTCTTCTTAAACCTTTTATATTTTAGTTCGTGATAAGTATTAATTAGAAATAACGTTTTTTTTAGAATTTTGGAGTTATTTGCTGCATTAGTAAATATAAATAATTTCTATGGATAAAAACTGGGTTTTAGTCCAATATTAATTGTGCTTAGAGATCCGCAACATTTTGGCTTCAAAATATCATTCAAAATACTTTTGTTGTCCTCAAAACCCATATCTGAACTGAATCTGCCTAGTCTAAGCGTAAGGATTAGTGAAAAAAAAATAGTTTGATAATTCTTCTTTTGTTCAACTAATCAGTAAATCTAAACAAATGTTCGTGACCTGGATCCGGATCCACTTATTTTTCTTCATGCTGATCCGGATCCACTTATTTTTCTTCATGCGGATCCGGATCCACTTATTTTTCTTTATGCGGATCCGGATCCACTTATTTTTCTTCATGCTGATCCGGATCAACTTATTTTTCTTCATGCGGATCCGGATCCACTTATTTTTCTTCATGTGGATCCGGATCCACTTATTTTTCTTCATGCTGATCCGGATCCACTTATTTTTCTTCATGCGGATCCGGATCCACTTACTTTTCTTCATGCGGATCCGGATCGAAAATTATTGTATCTTAAGCACTAAAAGTAGCAAACATTGATCTGTATGGAAAATAAAAAAGAATTTTCCGCGCTTGATATTAAATCATGGTTTTAGCCTAAGTGCCAATTTGGGCTAACACACACATATATATATGATTATCTACTCTAATCAGGAAGTAGAGAAGAAGGATCCTGATCTACTGTCTGTCGAGGATATCAAGGAACAGTGTAGATTTATCAGGAGATCTGTAGAAACCAAGGAACCAAGGTAAACCCCCCTTCCCTCTTTATTACTATCATTAGAATTTAAATTTTATTTTTATGTTGTTTAAAATCGATTTAATTGAAATAGATATTCTTGGAATGAATAGTTGGCAAAATCCTTGTGGATAATTATTTACAATATACCTGTAAAATACTGTATGTTGGGTCGGTACATTTATATCAGATTATTTGTCTTATCTTTCATCTTAAATCTGTCTTTGATTTAAGTTTTATTCCTTGGATGTATCATATACGTGTAATTAGATGATTTATAAAAATAATTGAAGAGACAACTATCTAAATTAAACCGTCAGAGTGATAGGATTAGGAACCGATTGGGAGTGTTATGAAAAGATTAAAAATACAAAAGTTTTGACTAGGGTTGATGTTTAGGTTTGTTCTCCGTGTACTGCGCTGTATCCCTGCAACCAGGAGAAAACTAAACCCTGTAGTTCTAAGAACTCTCTTCAGGTGAGAGCTATGTTAGTAAATCTAAGGAGAGAAGAAAAGTTTCGATTTTGAATAAATAAACTATGATTCCAATGGGTTTATATTTTTCAGAATTAACCCCCCCCCCCCCCTGGTATTCTTTTTGGATACTTTTTACCCGAAAATTCATAGATTGTCTCCTAAAAATCATTAGTTTTCATGTTGTTTGTTATGAAAGAAACTATCATTCATTCTTTTCCCGGGGTAAAAATGTCTCAGCTATTTGCATAATTCAGCCTATTTAGTGTACTTTTACACTAGGGAACAATTCCCGTAAAGGAACTATAAATTTTAGGTTTTAAGGGTCACTTGAAATCATGCTAACAGTCCCATTAATAGTACACACAATTTTTACATATTTTAATTACATAGGAGTCTCTACACTACTGATATTGACAAAGAGTCTGGAAAGGAGCTCATGAAGGTAAATTTGTTTTATATTTTAATTAGCTTGGGAATCCAGTTTTCCCCGTGAATAAATACCTACTTAGAACTTAGATCCAAGCTAAGACCATTCCTGGGATTCTGCCAGTTTTCATTCTCAAATTTTGAGGCAAATCGGTCAAGATTTTTGATCAAACATACTAATAAACGGATAGATCAGCGAAGTTTCTTAAATCTTACTTGGTGTTGTTACAATAAGTACCTTTTCTTATTTGTTTCCATAAATTTTATTTTTAAGAATTTCTATTTTTACAGTCCGGGAGGAGAATTTTTTTTAATAATCGCTTCCACTTAGACCCTTTTAACGAATAATAAAATTACCTCGTAAAAAGAGAATAATATTAAAATCCCTGGTTGATACTGGATAACTAATTTGGGGAAACTCTTGTTTTTTAAGAAAATTTGTGTTAAAACGTGCCAAAAAAAGAAAATTTACTTAATGGTTTACTAAAAAATTTGGTTATTTGAAGTACCGGCCGTATTTTAAGCAAGCAAGCTGTACACTGTACACTGTACACTCTACAGTACAGTACAAATACAGACTTAATTAGGCAAAACGGGACACCTCACGAAATAAAACGGGACACCTCACGAAATAAAACGGGACACCTCACGAAATGCAGATTAAGCTACTTCTTAAAGAGTCCAATATTTACTCTCCACCCCCCCCCCCCTAAATTAAAAATTGAAGAGATTTAATTTCACAAATTAAAACCCTTGTGTTGATATTGAAGAATATTGCTTGCAGTTTGTATCCCCTGCTGTTGAACTGGATCAGACTGCTACCCCTAGTAGAGCAAAGTCTGCTAGCCCCCTGTGCCCCGAGGTTGATGTCTACCTCTCCCTCCTGGTCCTGATCCATCTCCTCGACACCAAGAAGGGGGAGCAGGCCCTCCACTGCGCTAATCTACTTATGGCTAAGATTGACTCCCACAACAGGTGGGATAAATATTAGTTTTGTACAGTGCTTATTTTGGCCTCCTGTATCCGGATCAAATGAGAAAAAATATCTAATAAAAACTGTAAAAAAAAAACCTGTTTGCTCTTAAACCGCCAAATCTGAACTGTAAAAAAAATGTGTTATTAATATTTTCCTTAACTCTGAATGTTTTATCAAGATTCAGCAAAAAAAGAAAAATCAATGAAAATTCTCATGTTAAAAATTCAATACATTTTAATGAAACATGTATGACCTAGATCCGGATTTGGATCTAGATCCGCATCAAAATTAAATTTATCTTAAGCACTGGTTTTGTTTGTATGAATAAATGCATTATTATTCTACGATTTTTACATATCAAGGAGGCCTTCCCCCCCCCCTCCCCCCGTAGATATTTCTTGGGGGATACCCGGATCTACGTTTGGACATCCGGCTCCGGAACTCCGTTTTTTTAACTGCAAACCATTTTAGCGTTGTTATTAAGGATATCAGAATCGCAATTTACAGCAACGAAACTTATAAACTTGCAAAAAAGACTTGATCTGTAAAACGCGGTGTCAGATAGATAAATAGATAGATAAAAATTTATTGCTAAAATACATATATAGCTGTGTGATTTGATTTGATACAGAACGAGTTTACAATTACAAATTGATAATTGTTTTAACTAATAACTATACAAGTATAAAGCAATTAAATATTATTTGTCTATAATTTTATTTATTTTAACATTTAGGAGAACATTGGATGTTGTGAGCTCTAAATGCTACTTCTACTACACCAGGTAGGATGTCTCTCATATCCTTATATATTTATTGTGTGTGTCGTCAATGGTACGTCTCTTTTTTATATTAAATACTAATACTTTTGTTGTCTGCTAATATACAGGAAACGTCAAGTTTCCTCTTCATAGTTTTCTAAATTCAACATTTTATATAAGATCAATAATTTGAGATCTCGTAGATTTTATAATAATTGCTTTCATCACGAGTCATTTGGACCCGATAACTTGTTTATTGGCGACAGACAGACAGTCAAACTATTTTAATTTAACAGATGTTAGAATACAATTTTCAATGTTTCCTTTTATTATATTGTTTCTGTGTTTATTATGATTGTTGGAAAATTGTTTAGATGTTACGAGGTGTTGGGTAGATTAGCTGAATGCCGGGGTTCCCTCCACTCTAGGCTGAGGACTGCTACACTTATTACAATCTTTATACACAGGTAGAACACTTGATACAATCTGTATACACAGGTAGGACACTTGATACAATCTTTATACACAGGTAGGATACTTGATACAATCTGTATACACAGGTAGAACACTTGATACAATCTTTATACACAGGTAGGATACTTGACACAATCTGTATACACAGGTAGGACACTTGATACAATCTTTATACACAGGTAGGATACTTGACACAATCTGTATACACAGGTAGGATACTTGATACATTCTGTATACACAGGTAGGATACTTGATACAATCTGTATACACAGGTAGAACACTTGATACAATCTGTATACACAGGTAGGATACTTGATACAATCTTTGTAAAATATATATTTAAAAATGAACCCCTCATTCCTTCCAAAATACTTATTTTGAATGTAGTTTAGCTGTCTATTTTCTTTGTCCCCCCACTCATGTTCAAAAATCATTCAAAAATCATTATGTTGTGAATATTTGGGTGGAGCGCAAAAATTTAATTTATTGAAGGGTTTTTATCCATTGATCTTAGAAATTAATTTGTTGTGCATTCAAAGAGTTCAATGGACTCTATGCAAATTGATTAATAATTTATTTCACAAAATTGTGAATGATAGGTATTCAAAAGTGTGGCCAAATAAAACCAAAGAAGATTATTTTTTAACAAAAAAGTCCGGGCTGAAAAACCAGGACATGGACTTGAAACTCCGATCCGCTACTGGAGTCGTCTTAGGCCATACCCAGGTTCCAGATCCACAACATGTGATATGATATGATTTGCACTAGGTTTAAATTACTCCTGATGAATATTATTAAATGTTTAAAGGCGGATAAGCTTGTGTTGAAGTCCAGTTTTCCTGACCACGCATCTAACAACGAGTGGGCTAGATACTACTACTATCTAGGTAAATAAACAAAAAATCAAATTTGATTTTATTTAGAAATATTACTTTTAACTTCATTATTTTGATTAACTTAATTACTTTATTAACATGTTTAGACTTAGTTTTAATGAATAAAACATTTTTTTTTATTTCTGAATATTTTAAAGAAAATATGTATTTTTCAATTTAAGTTCTATAAGGACTTAAGTAGTAATTTCAAGTGACTCCCATTTACGTAGTGGCATATCCTATTTACAACGGATGTCTTTAAAACTAAACCTGATCAAGATTAGGATATTTTTAAACTTTTTTCTTTGAAAGTTGATTATTTTTAAGTTTGGTTTCTCTTTTAGTGACTTGTGCATTTCTGCTTAACAAACTACATACAGAATTTAACTTTTTTTAACCTATAGGAAAGACAAAATCTTCCCATGATGAGATAAATATTGTATCAAATTATTTTTCAAAATTTTTTGAAATTCCACGGGCAACGCTGGACACTTCAGCTAATAGATTGATAAAGCTTATTGCTAAAATACATGTATCTGTGTACAGAACAAGTTTTCAATTATAAATTAGTAATTATTTTAACAGTACAAGTATAAAGCAATTAGGTGGAATTTAGCTTTTGGCTGTTTTGATAATTTTTTTCACCTAATTTTAATAACTTCAATTAAATAGATTTGAGATGAACTGTTAGATATCAGGGTGCGATTTTATCTTAAAATAGTTCATACATTTGTGAGAACATAAATATTTTCAATATTATAATTTATTCTATTTGGTCAGGACGTATCAAGGCTATGCAGCTGGAGTACAGTGAGGCACACAAGAATCTACAGATATCCGCTAGGAAGGCTCCTCAAAACTCTGCAACAGGTAGGATTTCCTATATAATGCTACTAACATAATTGCTGGGAAAGGGTCAGGTTGGCACTACTACTAACTTAGTTTGGTTAGAAAGGGGAAATGTACTCCCTTTGTGCGGCAAAATATGATGTCTACATAAGATGGAGATTAATGCTTGATCCAGAGATTTCAAACACAAAATTCGCCATGTTGGTAAGTGTAATAAAAGTTAATTTTTAAGCCAGCAATTTGATAGTATAACTCGTAGATTTATTAAAAGCATCTTGAAACAAAAAAACTAGCTAGCCAAGGCTACAGAATACTACGGGTTCTGGTAACCCTGCACCCGGGTACGGTTACATCCAGGATTTAGCAATAGAACATGACTCAAGCGGACTAAACTGACGATCCCAGGCGTGATATATATGAGTATCGGTACGGGGAGTGCTGAGGCCCATGAAGAACACCAGCAATTATCTTTAAATATAATTATTTCCAACTACTTTACAGGGAAGTTTATGGCCCTTTTACTTTACCAAGGGTTCCCCAGATCAATTTTGTCGACAAAACGTCCAGAGCATAGCGAGGGATGTTTTGTAGACAAAATTGGTCGAGGGAACCCGTGGTTAAGTAAAAAAAGATTATTTCTCGAAAAGGTAGTTGTACACAATTTTATCGTTTTTTGAGATGGAAATGCACGAATATTTCCATAAAAACTTCGAGAGCGGGTGTTTATGTAATATGACTGTCCCAAGAGATGTTAAGTAACTCAGCTACATTGTTATGGAGCTTATTAGTTACACAGCTACTCCTGGAGCTAATCAGCTAAACAGCTAGTTCTCAAGCAATTCAGCTACCATCTCTAGCCTATGCGTAGATATTCTGGACGCCAGTTATCTTTAGGTGGAACATATGGCCGCCTAGCCTTTACTACAACTGATGTCTTTAAAAGGCCACTGGCCAGCCTTCCACAAGGTTGATCCTGACGTGGGGAGGGGCAGAAAATGTACTTCTAAAATATAATATCAATCTTTTAAAGATAAAAATGTAAAGATGGAATTCTAAAACTCGATGAAAAATAATATTAATGCATTTCCATTATCATATTTTTTCCTCTTCAGATTATCATATTATAAAAGTTTTTGCATTGTTTTGTATTATTATTTTCCAATGTGTTCTATTGCCAGCTTTTAAATGGCTTCGCTGTCTAAATATTTCTTTAATCGCCAAAAGAAATTATATTTTGTTTTAAAAATTTTTTTTTATTTTTGAGCGAAAATAACAGAAAACAAGTAGGTTTTAAGAAAACCATAAAATTTTCCCAACTTTAAAGTAAACAATGTACTTACTACTTGTACTTCAGTATTGACTTTATTTCTAAAACGAACGTTAATTTATTTGTGGTTAAAGAATACAATATAACAATATTTTGAAAAATAAGGCTTTTTTGTTCAAGAGGGCAGGGATGACTTTTCTTCGAAAAGAGTTCTGCAATAATAACAATTGAGTCCTTAGATTTCCCTCCTGATGTTTTAACAAAATTGGAAACAAGCTGGACATTTTTAAAGATAGATAAACGGCAATATCCTTATCATGTATTAAGGGCATGTTAATCTTTCTTAGAATAGTCTCTTCAAATTACTTTGACAATCCCTTGAAAGTTAAATATCAATTATATATTAAAATCCTTAAATATTGTTTCTTTTCAGGGTTCAAGCAACATGTTTCCAAGCTAAGTGTGACTGTTGACCTTCTGTTGGGTAATATCCCAGTCCGGTCAACCTTCCTGGCACCAGATATCAAGGTTGCTCTAGCTCCATACCTCCAGGTAATCAACCTTCCTGGCACCAGATATCAAGGTTGCTCTAGCTC